CCCCATTTGCGCGCGAAACCAGTTCATCTTCCGCGCCCGGATCGCCTTACGCGACTGGGTTGACAACCTTCCACGCATACGCTTCCTTGCGCGGAATCCCTGGAGGTTTTCGCTCATCTGCCGGATTGGATTCCACACCCGTCAATTTCCCGGCTTCACCCGCCCCCCGTCTTTTTCGCTCACATTCCCCGTTACAGACCCTCTCTCTCTCTCTCTCTCTCTCTCTTTCGTAAAATACTTCACGTGTCGTCACGTAATTTCCGGCACTGAGATAATAGTTCATTAATTAGCAATTCGCGAGTCGTTCGAGAAGAATGTGAGGAATCTCGGATGTTAGAAAGCAGTCCGTTTTTTTTATCATTGAACATTTCGATCTTCAATGATAAATAGCTCGTGTTTCTCCGGCTGGGATCTAACTTAGGAATTGTTCAATTTTACTTTGATATCTCCCTCCTCCAAGATCTGTTACCCGGGGCACTTTTTATTCGTGCGGGGACTCACGGCGAGATATTAAAGCGTGACCTTTCGAACTTCTCGCCCGCTCGGAAGCTCGCGAAACTCATTAAACTCGGGCGGATTATAATCAACTCGGTGCTTTCTGCGACACGCGGCCCGGGACTCCCATTCGATCTCCGTTCTCGTTACGTGGGTGATATTTTCCAGTATCCGGAAATAAGCGGAAACGGAAGAGGAAGCGGGCACGCCTGTTCGGCTCGGGCCACCGGAAATGGCGGCGTTCCGCCTCGTAATAGGTGGCCCTTTCTTCAAAGGAATTAAATTCGCTCGAGGCTGTTTTCTTCATGGAGAGGGGAAAAGGGGAGAGTCAGTCTTATTTCGGCGCTTGAATAACACGATAATACGCGCGATAAGTAACTCATTTATTCCCGCCGCGTAATTTGCATCGATTTAAATCTTGTAAGTGGTTCCCGGATTCCTCGCCGGAGATGATAATTTGCGATTCAGATGCGCTGCAAATTAGCAAAAGGAAAAACACGCGCGTCTGCTCGCCAAATGAACGAGACGAATATTCGGACGTCCAAGAGCAAACATGTTTCCGCTCTCGAGCCACGTTATCGCCGCCTTCGAATTGCGATAAGTCAGCCGGTAACGCGGTAAGTGGTTTTTTTTTTAATTAAGCGACGTTTCAGTTATCTGTTAATTTTCCGCGGTAATTCGAAGACAAGCGTGCTAATTGCGCGGGATGACGAGGCGGGGGGAGGTGAGTTCGTGGGGGAGAGACACGCGCGTCAAACGGCGAAATTGGAGCAAGGCTCCAGCTGAAACGCAATCGCCGGGCGATCGGGGCTCGTTCCTGTTCTCGCGCTCCTACACACGTCACCGCGAAGCGCGGCGCTATTGTTATTGCACCTTGACGTAGCCGTCGGTTTCGCTGCGGTTTAATAAAACCGAGTTATTTCTAACTCGCGACGTGCCGGCGCGGCGGCGGAGGGGGACGCGCGAAAGTCAGCCGTCATCTCGAATAAATTGTCGCGCGGGACAAAACACGCGGCTTCGGAGGATAAATCGGGGTGAGGCGGGCGGTAAATGGGATAAAAAAAAAAGAGACGCAAGAGTCATATTCATCAAGAATGCATGCCGAGGTGACGCGCGAGAACGGTCGATTCATGAATAAGAATTCGGATCGAGATAGTTGTCGCCCCGCGAGCTCGATTTCACGGGGCGACGCGGTTCTCCGTTCAGCTTCCGTAGAGACGTTTCGATCATTTCGTCAAGTTTTCGGGAGGAACCGGCGCTTCGGCAGAAACTAGTAAACGAGAGGACTTCGAGGAAGGCTCCGACTGGCATAATGAGAGAGAGGAGGGGGGGGGGGTTCGACCGCGATGACGTACACTGCTATTCATTAATGCCTGGACCTGCACTTTTATCACCATTCTTCGCATCTATACAAATCACAGAGATTCAGGCTGTATGTATGTACTACCGCGGGGACTTGTGTAGAGGCTGTGTGTACTACAGCCTGAAACTCATCGGCGTATAGATCGGAATAAAGAGTATGACAATGTGACTCCGTAGTAAGACCGAGGTCCAGGCATCAATGAATAATAGCAGTGACGGACGCGATGGTTGCGACTAGAGCTGTTACTTTCCATAACTTCGAAGCTTCGAAGTTTGAAGTTAACTTCGAAACTTCGAAGTTCGAAGTTAAATTCGAAGCTTCGAAGTTTCGAAAATTTATTCGTGCGAGTGACGAATTTCTCCGACGAACACTAAAAATATTGTAAATAAAAAGTACTAATTTATATACTATATATTGAGAAATAGGTAATTACTCGTACTTTTAAATTATAATTTTCAAATACTATAACATGTAGATTACATATTTGTTTAAGATCGCGTAATTAAATCTTGAAAATTAGTACTTTTTGTTTACAATATTTTTAGTGTTCGTCGGAGAAATTCGTCACTTGCACGAATAAATTTCGAAACTTCGAAGCTTCGAATTTAACTTCGAACTTCGAAGTTTCGAAGATTCGAAGCTTCGATGATTTCGAAGTTAACTTCGAACTTCGAAGCTTCGAAGATTTTGAAACTTCGAAGTCAACTTCGAAGCTTCGAATTACTTCGAAGCTTTGAATCTTCGAATATCGAAGCCTTCGAAGGTAATCACCAGCCCTAGTTGCGACACCCTGGTCTTAAACGAATGCGGATTTAGAGTCGGGGTTACGTTCCAAAGTCTCGTCCCCGAGGGATATTTCACTCAACGGCCGTTCCGAAACAATTTCGAGCGTTTCTCGAGTAAAATTCTCCTCGGAGAAACGCGGCTACCTTTTTTTCTTTCCGTCCGCCTTCATTGCGACGCGGGCCGCGCGCGTCCGCGTGATTACGCGGCGTAATTTACGACGGCGCGTTCTCGCGCATCGAAATGCGACGATTCTGCCGGCGAGACGTGCCTTTCGAGACTCCGTCTCGCGCGGCGATAAGATAACCGGAGAAAGAGAGAGAGAGAGAGAGAGAGAGAGAGAGAGAGAGAGAGAGAGAGAGAGAAGGGGGGATAAAGAGCGAGAGCTGTTAAATTGGAATCTTGGGCTCCCGGCGCGTTCGTTTACCCCTCGTGGCACGCGGCCGCGGAGAGCGGAGTCTATTTCGGAGAGATTTACGGAACATCCACGACACGGTCTTTTACGTAACGCGCAATTTTAATGTACGCGTCGTATTGTTCGCCGCTGCTGCGCGCCGAAAGTTGCCAAGCTACCGTGACGCAACGTCAATCGGGAGGAGAATTTCAGTCTCCCTTCGCCGCCCCGAGACGCGGCGATACGGCCCCCGGTGCATTGTGTTCGGCGTTGAGGCGCAATAAATATCGCCGCGCTATCCGCACGCGCGCGAGTTTGGCGTATGCAAAGCTGGTCGGCCAACGCTGCTCTTACGTCACCGGTAGACATCGGCTAGGATGAATGCGCGCGGCGCGATGCGGCTCGCCATTGACCGGCTCCGCATTGCGCGTCAATTCCGCATTAATTTGATCGCGTTTGGCGCTTCATTGTCCGAATTAATTGCCGACGTACTGGCCCAAATCGCGACGTTCCGTCGCGTAATTTATTTTCGAAAATAGCTGCGGCGTTTCACGCGTATACGTGCAAAGCTGACGCGCGTTATTGATCATCATTTATATGTGTATAATTAATAATGCAGCTGTATATCAGTGCCTGAAAGGTGATAAGCGGTGTTAAGTCACTTTTTTTTTGCAAAAACGAGACTTTTATTCCTCACTTTTTCGATCAGTTTGACAAATTTATTAAAAAACCGTGATTTAATATTGTTTACCTCTAAGCCATATAGAATGTTATATCCGTTTCGTTTCAATTAATTGTGCAAAGTTTGGGACTTGAGACGTGCGAATTTGGGAGAACAAATCAATTCAGTCGTGAGACACGATCTAATCGCGACAGCGTGGATTCGGATAAGAGAATCGTCCGATAAATGCAAACGAGATGCGTGAGACACGATCTCGTCATATTTCGATAGTCGTTTCTACGTTTTCTAATTTTTACCCTGTCAAGATGCTCGAAGCGCGAGAGCTCGAGCAAAAGTCAGCGTGATTTTTCCCTCGATCTCATTTCTTTCTCGCTCTGCGCTCGCTCATTCGTTTGTACTTGCGTTTTTGCAGGGACTCCTGGATAAGTACCTGATCCCCAAGGCTAGCAATGCCGAGAGCAAAGTATTCTACCTCAAGATGAAGGGTGACTACTACAGGTATCTCGCAGAAGTCGCCACCGGTGAAACCAGAAATAGTACGTATCGATCCTGCCTCGCGGGCTTGATCGCGGGGCGAGACGGATCTCGAAACGGGCGGGACCCGAGGAGATTGTCTTCCGTAGCGGTGCAGTCGTGACTTCTCGGCGTCAATTCTGTATCTTACAATGTAGCGAAAATGGTAAAAGCGAGGCAACTTTGTCTCTTTCTGAAGGCCCGCGCGTCCACGATGCCTGGAACTTGGTCCAAGTTCTAGTTCCGAGAAACGTGTAGCCAGTCAATTTGCAGCTTTTATGGAATAGCTAGAACTTGGACCAAGTTCCAGCATCGTGGACACAGGCCTTAACCTTTAGAGGGTCGGAGTGGCCAGGAGCGAACTTGAAAACTTTGCGGAACATGTAGATTACATATATGCATAAATTTTCTGTTTAAAAAAATTACGAATTTCAATAGAAGAATGCCAGCCCTCTACGGGTTAAGGGGGCAAACGGTAAGAGACAAAGCTAGTCACTTTAGCCTTTTCGTAATGTTGTAAGATGCGAACTGATGTCGGCGCGGCTGGTGTAAGATGTCAAAATGCACAATTTATCGCCTGCACCTCGGCGATCGCGAGATGATCGAAGGTCCTCGACTCTCTCGTTTCGATCGCCTCCTCCACGTGATCGATGCGACTGCGTCCAGTAGTGCGAGCGCTCGAGATGAGATACACTTCTCTCGGAGCCGGGCACTCGACGCAGCTGCATCGGCAGATGCTTCGTTTTGACTTATGGGCGGATCCCTGGACTTCGTGGATCGGAAGTGGAGTCAGTTGCGGCTCCGGTCGGTCGCAGTGAAAGTCGGTTGCCACCTTCGCGAGTGAAACTCTAGTCGCGAGGATTTTTAAAGAATGTCTACAAAGATATTAATTTTGACATTTTTGTATTTTCGTTTTCTCATATTCATTTGACGTTACTTGTCCTGATCATGTCAGATGTCGAAGATCCAAGAACTCCGTTTCTTGAATCGATAAAAGAATGTTTATCGGAATTCACATTAATCAGAATTACAAAGAAGTTCTGTATTTTTATGAAATTTATATAAGACGAAATTCACAAAGCCCAGGGAATTGCAGACATTCATATTTACAAATTTAATTATTGTTATATATTGTTATATATTTAAATTAGATTTAGATGAAAACAGATAGAATGCATGTATTCGCGCGACATGTGATAAAAGTGCTCTCAGGTGCTTGCTAATCGAGTGATTTCCACTTCGAGTTGCATTTCCAACTTTCCGCGACTCAAATGCACGATAATTATTAAACGTTACAACTGCGTTCGGACAAAATATCAATGCACATAAATTGCCTTAAAGCGCGTGGGAGCAATCGAGCTGCTTAGAATCTGAGCAAGTCGAAACGGTTAATCTATACGTTTCACTGGAAACAAAATAAAAATTGAAAGCCTTCCATCAATGCACAAATTTTAGTTCTTTCGCGACGACTCAAAGCGCGGTGAAAATTCACGTTACATGCCTCTACAAGTTCCAAGCAGCTCTCGAACCGACTTGATACGAAGCGTGTTAGCTCACGCAAGAGCAAAAAAAAAAACAAGACAGACACACATGTTGATGATCCACGTAATATCCCAGCCGTGGTAGACGACAGCCAGAAGGCATACCAGGATGCCTTCGAAATCAGCAAGTCAAAGATGCAGCCTACCCACCCGATCAGGCTAGGTCTCGCCCTCAACTTTTCTGTCTTCTATTACGAGATTCTCAACTCACCAGACAAGGCCTGTCAACTGGCCAAACAGGTACACGACCCGGAGGAGCTAATCGTTATTTTTCTAGCCATTCCGTGGGGTAGAGAGTGAGAGAACTCGGTGACGGGAGATGATTGGTAGTGATGGTGCATGGTGGTGACAAAAGTTTACCTTACACAAGCGAGCCTCGCTCTGTCGACTTGCCTACTTCCGTCCTACAAAGATCGGCATCTTCTTCCAGTTTGCCACTTCGAGACGTCGTTCTCGTTTGGCGACTGTCCCGAGACCCGGCACGAGTCCAGCTTTAAACGGACTCGCGACGTTGTAAAATCTGTGCGATATGGTAATAACTTACTTGCAAAGTAAAATATCTGACTAAAAAAACTGACGAAATGTTACGTGTATATGTACGCGTTGGAAAAGAATTTTTCAAATCGCAGAATCCAATTGCTCGCGTTAAAAATGCCCGGCCCTTGCGGGATTTTAATACGGCGGCGGTACATTTGTTTCTTTACGTCCTTCAACAATCGCTCGCGATAAATATCTTCCGAGACAACAGCGTAATTGTTTAACGCGGGTTTAACAATTGAGCGCTATTTTCTATTATTATAGTACGCAGCTGCCGATTGGTGTGCTTAAAACACATTCCCGCAAATAGCACGTGTAAAGTGTCCGATGCGCGGGAGAGAGCGCTTGTATTTTTAATAATGTCGTCGGTGAACGACTCGCGATGACTCAGGACGGAGATGCCACGTCCCAGCGGGGTCACGTCGTGGAAGATCGGTGACGATTTATGGACACGGTCCGTTCAAGGCCGTGAGTCCCGAGCGAAACGACACGCGCCGGTCTTTGTGGGACAAGACGCGAGGCAAATCGCTGAGATTCGCTTGCGCTTTTCCCTTCCTTTGTCCAGCTTTCGCGCACACCCCATCCTCCCCGCGCGTTCCTCTCCCGACGGCGAGACGACAATTTATTGTTACTTCGATGGCCGCACGGCGCAAAAATGAGGTCGTGGAAGGTGTAATCTGACTAGAGGCCGATTTGCATTTGCAGCGGTAGTCGAGGATTCGCAGAGGGCGTACCAGGAGGCGTTTGACATTGCGAAGGCGAAAATGCAGCCTACGCACCCGATTAGGCTCGGCCTTGCCCTCAACTTCTCCGTTTTTTATTACGAAATTATCAATTCCCCGGCTAGAGCCTGTCACTTAGCCAAGCAGGTTAGTGGGAAGGATTGTGCCGGGCTTTGTGGCTTGTGACGCTGCTCGCTGCGTGATAGTTTTCTCCAATAAATCCCCTGTTACATGCATTTAATGCGTTCGCCGTCCAACCGGGTACGTGATAAGACTGCTGATAAGAGGACGAGAATTGGAGCTACGTATTCTGATTGAGGCGCTCCTGCTGAAATCTCGGTCTTTCTTCGCGATTCGAGCGATAAGGGGAGAGTAAGAACCGCGCATTTCGTTTCTTCGTTGAATTAAAGAGACAATGACATATATTTATTTTTTACGTCTATATTTAAGTCGCGGGGGATCAGCAGTCTTACTATGAAATCGATAGTTCTTGCCGTGTGAATTTATCCTATCTACTCTCTAATGACCAAATCCCCCCCCCCCCTCCCCCAATTTGATATAATTTTAACGTTAATCTGGATGTGAATGCTGTGCCGTTTAATCTTTTTTCCCCGAATTGCTAATACATGATTAATAAACTGAGATACTTGTCCACTCTGTGCCGCACTAACCACCCCGCATCGTATTCTCTATTTATATTAATCAACAGTTTGATTTGTGCAATTATAGATATAACTTATGAATATTTGACAAATTTTATATAATTGTACTCGCAGAGTTTTATTTCCTCATTAAAAAGAAACGTACATTTTATAATGCTACGATTACATGAATTTATTTGAAAGTGAAATTATTCTTCTATTAAAAAGATAACGTTGTGATTTCTATGACACGGAACAAAATAGATAATAGGAGAAAGAAGCCGAATGAAGAGTGTCTGACGCATTTGTTGCTCTTGCAGGCGTTCGACGATGCGATCGCGGAGCTGGACACACTTAATGAAGACAGCTACAAAGATTCCACATTGATCATGCAGCTGCTGCGCGACAACCTCACTCTGTGGACCAGTGACACGCAGGGCGACGGGGACGAGCCACAGGAGGGCGGCGACAACTAACCTTCCTAAGCTTAAGTCCTTTCTAAACCTAATAAGAACATCCTATTCTCTATCGTCCCCCCGTCCCCCTGAAGTGCTCACCCATATGTCCATCCACCCAGATCCATCCATCCATGTCCACCTGACCTCTCGTCCCTCGCGTACCTCGTTTCCTTCTTTCCTTCCTTCCTTCCAATCGCAAGCCTCCCTTTTCCTTGAGTCACTCCCTTTTTCAGAAAAGAAAAACTGATCCCTCTCTCTTTTCTCTCTCTATCTTTCTCTCTTTTTATCCTGACATGACCGCACACTGCTGCCAATGCCACCGCCACAGCTGCTACGTCCGGTTCGAAAAATTCGAACGTCGAGGGCACCCGAATTATCCACTAATGCTCGATCGTGCCCGATGATTCGCGGACGATGACAAGAAAAGGATCTTAAAGATGAAACTTGGACTCGGAACTGGATTCTCGGTCGATAACCGGAGTAGAAGGGCGAGAACGTTGCTCGTGCGTGAAGCGTGTATCGAGTCAAACTGGTACACGAGAGAGCCATCATCGACGAGGAGAGAAGGACGATCGAGTAGGGCGTGGATCATTCGGTCTCTCGCGCGCGAAAATTTCTTAGACAAAAGAGATCCATCTATTCACCCGTTTGTATGGAGGAACTGGAAGGAGCGAATTGTGGATGAATAGAGGAAAGGACAGGAGGAGACACACACACACTCACATCTTCCCCGCATACCCTGTCTCGTTGACACGAAAATCATTGCGCGGACGCAGTCAACGCGTGCGTGCGCCCCATTGTCGATAACGCACATGGCGGGAAAACGAAAGCAAACGCTAGATCATTTGACTCTTGCGAATAGAAGACGAGAAAGTGATGTACTGCTAAAAGGGTAAATTTTACACACACACACACACACACACACATATATATACACATACATACACACACACATATACACATACATACACACACACATCGGGACGAGACATGGAATGCAGAGGACCGACCGACCCTCTGTCGTTACTCCCAAAATCTGCTCGCTGCTTACCATCTCAAAAGAAAAGAAACATAAAATTAGAACGAGAGAAAAGAAACAGCGCGGAGGTACGAGAAGAAGCGAAGAGAACGAGGAAATGAAAAGAAAGCACGCATGAATCTACTGCATTATATCCAGTTGTCATTTAAATTAAATTTCACATTGTCTAGCAAGTAACGAATATTATTATACGAAGGGAAGAGTGCAGGAGGAGAAAGGAGAGTAAAAACAAATACATTAAGTTATTAAGTTCCAAAATGGACATCAGTGGTGACTTGATTTTTCAAACGCTCTGTACTTTTTTATTTTCTTCTCCTCTCTCTCCAACATTACCACCATGATTATGCGCACACCATCTACATGCAAAATTCGACACGTCTTTTCCCGCACGCGGAGCTCTCCATCCTTTTCCTTTCGCCACGACCGGAAACCTCGCGATTTTACCGCAAGTCTGAAGTCGCGGTCCGGCGGTCGGAGACAAATTTCTTTTCATACTATGTCTCAAATCTTATCTACCGCGAAGAGAAAAGATTTAATCGATCAGGAGTCGTTGGTAACACACCGATAATTATTGTCACAATCGTGTTGTAACGCGAAGAGAAAGAGAGGACGTTTCTCGTCGTCGTTCTGTGCTCGTCGTCGCGGTCGTTCGCACACGTTTCCCCCCAAGTTTCGCGTGATCGTGGAACGGAATGCGGAAGAAGAAGGACGGGGATCCGAACGAGAGCCGCTCGTGGTTCCTATTGTCATCGTCGTGCGCGGAGACTACACACGTACGATACGTTATTAAAAGATTGCGTATTCTGGCGTCGGGACCTTCGATTTCCTCTCGTTCTTTCTATTCGACCGCTCCTCGTCTCTCTCTCTCTCTTTCTCTATACTATACGCAATTATATAATATATACACACACAGATATACATATATAAATACATATATTTATATCACGTACTCTTAGCAAATTCGTAGCGCGGTCGAGAAGAATGAAGAGAGAACGAATTGTACGCACACAACATACACACGAGTATAGATATATAGCCATGTATTTACTTTTGTCCTGCGATGTTCATTTTTTGAGGATTCGCGAGAAAATTAACGTGTTGCGAATCGCGATTTACAATTGCTCCTCGTAGACGGCATTGTGTAAGGTATCAAGATCCGGCTCCCTCGAGGAGGGTGAATCTCGCGACGCTTGCAAGGTTCCTCGAACGAGATGTATACATCGAGGAGAATCACGGGAGAGGGATTGTACGCGCGTTCGCATACACGATTGATTGATGGGGAATAGGACCGCGCGAGGCGATGTGTCGATAAATCACGCAGCGTATTCAAGTTAATTGTGTTGACAATTTTATAACGAACGACGCAGGGCTTCGTTCGACATGTACCACGTGTTTGAAGCGCGATGTAAGTATTTCGATCACTGTTAACGAAAACGAATTTAACGTTCTACGTTAGAGGGGAACTGCAAGATTCCAACGGGAGGTCAAAGACTATCAAATCACGCTCTCCGCTCGCGTTCGCCATATACGACGCGATGAGAGGAGGTAGAAGAGATGTGAAACGAGGAGCCGAACGCTCGTCCTCGTGGCTCTTCTCGTATATATATGTATAATTAAGTATATGTATATACGCGCGCGTATACTCTCTGACAGCACATATATATTCATACATACACACGTACACACATTTATATCACGCATATGTAATATCGCTAATGTCGGGTGACAGCCAGTTTCAGCAAGTTAGTCGCTAATTACACGTGAATGGGTAAACGTTTTCCTGTTATCGCGTTGATATTTCTCGATGTATAATCGGTGTCTTTGTCGCAACAAGATTGTCCGTAATCGCCGGGAAGGGAGAAACACGCGGGAATCTATCGTTCGGTTGCTAGAGAAGGAAGGGAGAAAGAGAAAAGAAACGAGAGTGAGAGACTGACGCGGAGTCGAAGAGACGATGAGCAGTGGACAGCAAATCCGAAACGGCGACTCTTCCTCTATCCACCTCCTCCTCCTCCTTCCGTCGAAACAGGAGCGAGAATGAAGCGTGTTATAATTTGTCGGCGATATCGGTTCCGCTTCTGTCGCGCGCAGGCCACGGAACTCGAGCCTGTACTCCGGCAGAAGTAGAATCCTGCGACTAGCGTCCGTTACAGACGAGGTCTTCTATCGTCGAGGCAGGATAGAGCGAAGACTATACAGATGACAAGAAATGAGATAACGTGAAATTTATTAACACAACCTGAAGATTCAATACGTTCGTGAAGACGCTTGTTTCTTGTCGTCCGAGTCTCGTTCCTGTAATTCTGTCTCGACCCGAGGAGACTCGAGATCGAAGAGTCGAACGATGAAGGCTGCAGGTATCATCTCTCCGATCCTATCTCTCCCCCGGAAAGTCCTCGGTGAACGTTCAACGAGGGCTAGCTGGGCGAGACCGGGCGGGCGTGTGTAATCGGAAATGTGGTAGCAAGAGATGCGTCGGAGCGTACGTGTTGATCTCGCGCAGCCGGCTCCCCGGATGTAACATCCTTCTCTCTTCGTCCCCACCTCTCGCGGATCCTGCTGAGGCTTCTCTTTCTCCTCCTTTCGCTCCTTTCTCTCGAATCTACTCTTCAGGGATGTTTTCTCCAATCTAACTTTATCCTTGTCCCAGCCGCCCACCACCCGATTCAACAAATCGAACGTTAACATCTTGTGTTCTTTTCATTTTCTGGATATTATGAATTTTCCAAAATAAACGTTATGTTTTTTTTTAATAATCCTGGCAGTGACTTTACTCAGTCGGGAGATCTATCGTCGTCAATGTCAGCATCGTCAGCATCAGCGGCAGCATCATCGTCATTGTCATAATCATCTTTATCTTCTCCTCAGTCTTCATCTTCATCTTCATCATTGCCAGCGGCTTCTTAGCATATAAAGAATTTCTTCGATCCTCTTTGCCATCCAGGTCTCCTCCTCTTTTAATCGACTGTCTCGAATGAAGGACGCGAGCTATTTTTTTTTTTTTTTTAGAACAATTTATGCGTACGTTGGCGATCGCGAGAGGAGCGACGACGGCACGTCTCTTCGTTCCACTACATCGAGCTCGGTCACGCGGATTCACACGATTTGTCCCTCATTGTCCTGGCTCTCCCTTCTTTTCTTCGTACCGAAAGCCATTGCCATCCACGTCCAGCCACCTATTCTCCTCTAGACATCCATTCTCTCCGCCTTCTCTTCCCTTCTCTCCCTTCTATTCTACCCCTTTCCTCCCCGACCCAAATTACGTTGTTCTATTTGTATTTATCATCAACCCATCGTAATTGTAAATTATAATTATTATAAACGTTTACACGAAATAATAAATTCTGATAAAATGTCTGAGAAAAAAAACCATAATCCACAGTTGTGTGTCTTGCTTTGCGACGACGATTGCCATCGTGCCGGAGGGAGGCGTTTGCGCACGCTCGACGATGTTTCACGATCCCGGAACAAAAGTCGAGATTACACAACATGCGGACTTGATCGCGAATCATTGTAAAGGATTCCAGCACAATGTCGCTTATCAATAAGATGTCTCATTGGATCGGAATGACTGCTTTCTTTTGGGATCCACGATTCGTTCGACACTTCGAAGCGATTCGTTCCGTGCTGTCTGAAAGATCGGCATTGCAATCTGCGAAATGCCAAGTAATCTGAGTAAACGCTTGAAATACGTAACATTTTGATAATATCGCGTAACACGATTACTCATCGAATTTTGTATGGACGAACGTTCGAACGTCACGGAGCGCATTAATGTTTACTACGTACAGTTCCCAGAAGCGTTTTCATCTTTTATCTCAAAATCCTACTTGCCTGTTGACTTCGATTCCACAGGACGATATTATATCTTGTATAATTTTTATCCCGCCGAGCTCTTTTTTTTTTTTAAATTTACCGATCAATCATTCAACGACCGACATACGGCTCGTTTCTTTTGCGGCAGCTCGGGCGATGGCAGAAATTGCTGCTGCGTCGTCAAGAAAGGATCAGAAAGAGAGAGAGAGAGAGAAATAGTAGAATAGCAGGAGAGAAGAATATTCGCGTAAGGGCGATGTCTAGCATGATCGAGGTTTAGCAATATCGAGAGCATGTAGAGACTTTTTCATGTACTTGAGACGCAAAGGGATATTTATTATGATTGCTATTATGGGTATCATTGTGCTAGATGTATCCCTGTCCTTTTACACCCCCTTCGCCCTACCCTACCCTGCCCTGCCCTGCCCCCTGCCTGCTCCCCAATTTTTCTTGTCGATGGTATATCTACACATGTACTTGTATACACGACTTTCGCATTATGTATACGTACATATATATATGTATGCATACATTATTGAGGAAACATGATAAAAGATACGACGCGAGATACATATATGTATATGTACGCGTGCCTTTTCCGACAAGAAAGGCCTATCTACGATTAATCATGCTAAATTTTTTGCACAATTTATACGTGTAGCCGATACGAAGTACGAGATTACGGTTTTTGCTAACGAGAGTAGCGAATTACCACTTAATGCGCGAAGTGACAGGACGCGGAGTGGTCGCGCGGCGGTGAGGAGGAACAGATTCGCGGGGAGGAGACCAAAAGAGAGGAGGGACAGAAGGGAAACGCGGGGAGGAAAAGGAAATTCCGAATCGGAGCGTCGCACCCTGTCGACTTGTCCTTTGCGGACTTCGTGGCCGCTCGATTCGACGGCGCAGCCACTTGTCGCGAGACTAGATAGGGAGACGTGTAGATCCAGGGCGAGTCTCAACCCGGTGGGGGTCGCGCGACACCCTTCGCCAATCTCGAGATCGCACGATCGAGGATTGTAATCCGAAGGAAGGGTCCTCGGATCGTCTCCGAGGGAGAAAAGGAGAAAGGAAGATAGGGAAAGAGAGAGAGAGAGAGAGATCTCTCGCGTCCAGGCCGGGGTTGAGAGTCTCCGCGTTAGGTGTAGAATACCATTTTCGTGCGGTAGACGAGCTCCCGCAGTAGACATTCCTTGGGACACCGGGGCGGCAAAACCAGAAGGGTTTGCTACTTCAGTCACCGACCGTACCATTTCGTCCTCGCGCCAGCAATCGAATCTGTACGGGAATTCTGTAACTTGCTATCGAGGTTTTTCGATAACGTCAACCAGGAACAACCAATGAAAATCTACGTCCTTTTCGAAGATCGTCCTCGCCATTGGCTGTCGCTAGTTAACGATACCGAAAAGCATCCATTGCAAGTTACAGAATTCCCGTACTGGGCGCCTATCGCGGAAATGTTCGAAACTCTGTTCATTTACTTCCTAAATTTTTATTTCTATTTCCATGACAGATACCCCGAGGACTTTGTCTTGCCACGTGATTTAGAGCGGAAGGGAAAACTTTTTGATTGGATATAATACGGAAACGTCTTCGCGACTTGTTCGGTAAAATCGCTCTTGCTCGACTTCGAATACAATCGTGTCTTCAGGTTCGTTCGCGCGAATGCGCCCACTCTCTTTTCTTCTCGCATCGCATTGCCGTGGCGCTTCGGGGTGTTGCATCAGGCGTTTGATGCAACGTTGCGTCAACCCGCTTCCGGTTCCCGTCGGCCGAAACGCCGAGGGGGAATCCCTCTCCGCGGCAGCGATCGAATCGCGTCTTTCGAACGGTCCGTCGGCGAAGCGGTCTTTTCCTTTCCTCCGCGACATTGACTTGGATGCGGGCCTTCGATTTTGTCGCCGCGCGTGCCTCGCTAGAACGAAGGTTTTTTTCCTCGGTTTCGCTCCTCTACGACTGTAGCCTGTTTTTAGCTGTCGCTCCCGTAACCCCCTCGCCCCCTCACCCGCTCCCCCGCCCCTCCCCCATTCGATATAGATCAATGCTGTTTCAATCGAAATATAATACACGTTAAATGGATTAACAAAAAGAAACAAGACGACGCTGATACTTGGCGGGGTGGTGTTTGTAAATAAAAGCTGTCAAAGCGACGATTCAGGTCCAGTCATTTCACCCACATCAATCGCTGGCGTCGGGAACGCGGATTTCGAGGCCTCGCGCAACGGAGGTCTCGCATATTCAAGGCCCGAACGCACGAAAAAACTTCAGACTTGAGGGAAATGACCAATGTCTGTCGAGAACGTAAGCGGCCATTTTGAAGCTTAAGCAGTGCTGAAAGCTCCGATTGGTTGAAAATCTTGAGTCTTAAGTCTTTAGTTGCTTAAGTCCCAGTCTACAATAGAGATTTAAGCCCTAAGCCTTAAGAAATTGACTAATCACAGTCGCGCATTCTACTCATACTTGACCGTGATTGGTCAATTTCCTAAAGCTTAGGGCTTAAATCATCTATTGTAGACTGGGACTAAGTCTCCTTGTGTGTTTCCAGCTTTACTCTCGCGCCGTTGACACCGAAGACCGCGAAGTTAACCGAACTAACGCAAAGGCCCAGCAGGTGTTTTGATTCCGATAAAATGTCTCTTCGGCCGATCAAATCGTCTTTTTGCAGGAATAATATACAGAACGCTTTTTTTTATTAAGCTCAGGGGTTTTCTATTAAAAGCGGGACTATCCCTCGTTCGTTTTAGCTGAAATCACATGTCGGACGTCTTCGATATCGGCTGCCTGTGTTTCAATATAGAGCCATTCGACGTTCCGAGGATCATCGGCCAGGATTCGTCCAAGGGATCATCGGTCTCGGAAACACCGAGCGTTTCTGAAGTGGAACTGGACCCGACGAATATCGTTTCCTCGCGGTCGTTCTTTGCAGGGGAAATTGGACGCATTGCGGCGTGCAACGCGCGCGAAGGAACTCTGCGGATTTTGAGTTTTCGCTGGCGTTCGCAAGGTACCAATATCGCGGATCTTTGTACCCCGCCAGACTTTGCTCGGAGAGTCACGCGCGAGGCTGTATCGCGTCGGCGGCGAACGAGTCGCGTCATTATCAGTCGGCCGTCGCGCTCCGTCCTGAAAGGTGCGCTGCGCTGTTCGAGCTGGCCTTTGCGCTCCAGTCATCACGAGGTGGAACGTCGACGACGATCGACTCTTGATAATAAACGGCTGGATCAACGAAGCGGTCGAGCCACGCGAGAAAGCTATCTCTAGTAGCACAGTGTATTGGCTAAACATTGGGCCAATGTTTAACCGATGTTGGCCCATGCACTGTGCTACTCAAGGTGCTCCTAGGGACGTTGTGCGCAATGATAAACGGAAATAAGATCCTTCTTCAAGTCGCGTTTTAATTGTCGGTAAATAATTAACTAGAGACTTTCGATATTAAAATTAACAGGAAGTAGCGAGCTTCGAGAGTCAAACTTGGGTTAGCTGTGCGCAAGTTAACGTTGTGTAACATTTAATTAATAATTTGATACCAAGAATAAGTCGTACGTCACGGCTGTGCGTTGAGCGCGTCTCCGGCGACGCGCGAGATAAATAATCTCAAACTCTTCGACGAGCACTTGAAGGTGAGTGTTTAAAAATTGAATGTGCAAAGATAGTGTAATGCCCTAGTGGCACAGTGCACGGACCAAACGTTGGTTAAACATTGGCCCAACATTTGGTTGTGCCGGGCTAATGTTTAGCCGATGCACTGTACTACTAGGGTGCTCACAGAGGGAATCGCAGAGAAAGTCTGCTTCTGTTCGTAGCCTGCAAAATACTAGAAATGAAAATTGTAATTAGCCGGCAAAGAGAGGTGGCGTCCACTCGTCGAACTGAAGGAACGTGAGATTGACAAACTGGAGCCACGACAAGCGAGGCGAGGAAGACTTTTTGAACGTTCACCTGCGCCCCAACTTATGAAAATGAACTGTCATCAGGTAGGTTTATCTTCTTTTTCCTAATGGACAGAATGGATTAGGAAACAAACGCGCGCAATAGAGATTGAACAATTTTGTTGCACGCTGTCACCTCGTATATTCTCTTCCATCTTAAGGGGTTACAACACTCTAGAGTAGGGCTGTTTTGATAACTTCGAGGATTCGAAGCTTCGAAAGTTCGAAGGAAATCACCAGTCCTACTCTAGAGCCCCCAAAAAAGCCAATTTTCGGTGAAAATTTCAAATACCAATATCTTTTTCATTAGACTTTCGACCCGAGTGTTTTAAGTATGAAAATGTTCTGCTATGCGGTCCGCAACTTAATCTTGGCATTATTTTCTGCATAAAAGCTAATAGAAAAATTTACCGGCGCAAAAACTATATTCGAATGTGTTAGTAAAACAGATGTCGACAGGCAAGGCAGAGACAAGAGACTTTCGCGACTCAAGTTTTTCTCTGCCTTGCCTTACGTCTGCGACTTAAGACAGTCTTAACTGAGACCCGAGACAGAATCTCCCGTCGAGCCGGGAGGGACGGACTCTCGTGGCTAAGGCTGATGGCAGACAACTATCCGTAAGCGCTTAAGACTGACGTAGCCGTAAACTTAAGGTAAGGCAGAGAAAAACATAAGCCGTAAGGAACACGTGTTCTACGGCTTATGTTTTTCTCTGCCTTACCTTAAGTTTACGGCTACGTCAGTCTTAAGCGCTTACGGATAGTTGTCTGCCATCAGCCTAACTTCGCGGATCTCTTTCGGCGCACTTGAGCCCGTTCCATTTTTTCGAATCTTCCGCCTCGCGCGCGCGACCCGTTCGAAATCGCGCGGGCGCCGCGATTGGCCCGGGCGATGGCGGCGGCGGCGGCGGCGGTGGGGGGTGGCGCGCGGCCAGCCTAAAGGTCACCTTCAGTCGCTCGGACGTGGCCGCGGCGGTAGATGTCCGTCAGAGGAGCGCCAGCAGTCGGTGGGACGTCGTCGTTGCGGTCTTCAGTCGCGTCTTTCTGGTGAGTCGAATCGCCCGTCGACGACGTCGCGGTCGTCGATTTTCGAGTGCGCGGCGCACACCGACGTCCGTCGTCACCGCCGCCGCTGTCGCCGTCGACGTCGCGGCGCCTGACACCTGCACGCGACTGTCAATTGATCGGTCAAAGTGGTCGAGTGATCGCGCGACACCCGTCGACTCGCCTCGAGTCCGCTCCGCGTCGCATCCCGGCGAACCGGCGGGCGAGCGGATGACACCTACTGGTTGTACGATCTCGTTTTAGGTGGCCGCCGAGGGTGCTTTTAGGTTAACCTCTCGCTAGGTAGACAGGCACGATTGCTCGCCGCGGTAGGACGGCGTAACGATTCACGCGACGCTCGTGCGGTAAATAATGTGGGCTCTGTCTCGACGTGTACTGGACAATTGGACGGGGCAATTTTTGGAATGTCGTGCAATTATCGTAATTCACGGATCGTAGTTGCCCGCCAGCGATCGATTCTCGTCGCTCGGCGCCTCGGTGCCAATTGCGCTCTTAACAGGAGCGTCGTATAGAAGAACCGATTGTCACCGCAGCATCCGTCGCGCGCGCGGAGCATATATCTCGCGATGACACAATTGCATCTTCCGCGCGCTGCTTATCTCGCGCGATCGCGCGTCGACCGGAGCGAGAGCGGCGCCGACGGCCTCGAGAATCTCGAGTTTGATCCGCCTCGATTCTATCCTTTTCTTTTTATTGCCGCGGAAAGTTACGAGCTCTCCGTTCTCGCGTAAATTAGAACGCGACGCGGCGCGACGCGACGCGCCGGACGGAAAAAGCTTGTCCGGCTGGCGACCAGCGGTAACTTCGCAGTCGCGAATTGTTGACGCGCCTCCCCTCGCCCTGAAACCCAGCCAGATTTCGCTCGCGCACGTGTCATTTAATTTTAAAACGCGGCACTCGCGTGTCGCAACCCTCAGTTCCGACAGCTTCGATCCGGATTTTTCCGCGCCCGCGGGCCACCCGCGTCGCGGTTTCCCCGCGAAGTTCCTTCCGCTTTCGGCGAAACTGGTTTTTTTTTTTTTTTTAAAGCGTTCGAGCTCTCCGGTCTTTTTACGTTTCTTCTCAATGTTGTTTGAAATATTTAGGCTATTTATCTGTCGTCTTCTTTGAATGTGCGATTCGGTAAATGTCGGATATTTACGTTTGAATGTAAAATGCAACCAGAGATATGCAACTCCGATATATTCCTCCCCTTTATGTATTACTTTATTACTAAAATAATTCCACAAAACTATAAAATATAACTGCCGGAATTTAAGAAATTCTACGTAAATTGACAAAGTGTTGGAAAAATCAACATAAAAATGCTAGAATTGGAACATTTTTGTTAATTTTTGTAATATTCCACAAGTAAGCAGATGTTTTAATTCTTTAAGACCTTGTTGTTTCTCAAATTTGTAAAACTAGTAAAGTTTTGTACTGATTTTTACAAGATTGTACATTTTCATGAAATACTACTTGCAATTATTTCTTGATTTGAGAACATTGTAACTTGTGGTACTATTTCGTAGATATTTAAAAAAAAATTAATGTTTCACCGAAGATATAAAAATTTCTACAAATTTCTATCTCATTTCTATCTCTATCAATCTCAATTTTTCCGCTAGGGAAAGCTTGTGCACCGAGAGACTTTCCTCTTAAAATTTATCCTGAAAATCATATAATCGTGGGACATGGCATTTTGAAGAACTTTACGAGAGTTTTTTGAAATTTATACCATGCGTTTAACTAGTAAACTGTATGGTAAAATTTCAAAAAGCTCTCAAAGTTCTCCAAAATGCCAGATCGTCCCACGATCACACGATTTTCAGGATGGATTTTAAGAGAAAGTTCTCTCCGTTTATACATTTCTTCTTTTTGGTTACTCAAGAATCAGAATGCAATTAATTGACGTACATTTACGTAAATGATTTAGGTTGCGGTCAAGCTGCCGCTACAAATGCTTCCAAGTGCTTCTCTTCTCTTTCTACCTTTACTGAAAGAAAGGAGAAGAAGATACTTAGAAATATTTGAAGCGACAGCTTGACCGCAGCCTCACTGGCGCAACAATATATTCCGCGCTATACTTTATTGTTTGTTTTTTATTACAAAATGAACAGCTGCGATATGCGTGTCTCGATTTGATGGAAACGAGGTTAAAATTTCGCGTAATCAATGTGAAAATTGTTAATCGCGCGGGGAAAAATGTCCGAGGGCCATCGAACCGTTCGGTGCTGTTGCACAAATGCAATTTACTCGGCAAGTTACGCGGAGGGCGACAGCGATTCGGACGACGCGGACGCTCCAGATGCACGCGGAAGCGTCGCGGAAACGCAGGATGCGGAAAGAAGCTCGAGTTACGTTAGAGTTGGGTCCTCGCAGGTGTCCAGGGACACCTCGCAAAGGTCCATCGCCGTTAACGTGCTGAAGAAAGCCGACGCCGAGCGATCGAGCAGGATCAGCATGCAAAATTTGAAGCTCTCCATGTTGTTTCCAGAGGCAAGCCCGCGCTCGTTGATGATGCCACGTGCAATTCCCCCGCTTTTCTTTCTCGCACAGAAATCTGTGCGCGACGAATGAATTAGAACATTTACTTCCGGACAGATGTTCTGGGGCCGGACCTTCGAATCGGTTGAACATTTACCAACTGGCTCGTCGTTCGAGATCAGATTCGACGAGGCCGAGGAGGAGTACGCCAGAAGCCTGCGTTTCCCGCGGCGCTTGAGACAGAAAGTTATGATCCTGCTTCTCCCTTCATCAATTTCCTCACACCTGCTCTTTGAGACTAAAGCATGAAACGTAAAATTTGTTACGTCGTGACCGACGTGAGACACGAGGGAGATTCGGAGAGGAACGGCTTCTCAAAAATGATCAGCTTGATGTATGAAATTTTGCGTTACAGAGTTACAAGGAATACTGCGACACAGTCATGGCCGAGGACGCGCCAGCTCAGAAGTTTATAAAACCTGGGAGCCACAAGGGCAAGGGCATCGCCGTGTTCACCAGTGGAGGCGACTCTCAAGGTACGCGCGGAACAATCATATTAATTGCATCATGTCAATTGCGTCATGTCACTTTGAAATAAGCGCAATTTGATGTTCGATATTTCGTCCTTTTTCAGGAATGAATGCCGCCGTACGAGCGGTCGTGAGGATGGGCATCTACCTCGGGTGCAGGGTGTACTTTATCAGGGAGGGCTACCAAGGTATGGTGGACGGCGGGAAGAATATCGAGGAGGCTACGTGGTCGTCCGTGTCTTGCATCATTCACAGAGTACGTATTAACGGACTCGACGGTGTTGCGTCATTTCGCGCATGTATTACAAACTCCTTTTGTCTCTTCAGGGTGGCACAGTGATCGGCTCCGCCCGGTGCCAAGAATTCAGGGAGCGTCCCGGTCGGCGAAAAGCCGCTAAGAACTTGGTGAACCTAGGGATAACGAATTTAGTGGTGATAGGCGGAGACGGTTCCCTCACGGGCGCCAATCTCTTCAAGGAAGAGTGGCCCGCGCTTTTGAAGGAGCTCGTCCAGTCTGGTGAGCAGAGAGGAAACCGACGGCCTATCGCGTGCGCTCGAGACTAACGTTGTTGCTTTTCGTTAGGCGACATAACTGCCGAGCAGAGCGAGAAGTACAAGCAGCTGCACATCGTCGGTCTGGTAGGCTCCATTGATAACGATTTCTGCGGTACGGACATGACGATCGGTACCGATTCCGCGTTACACCGTATCATTGAGAGCATCGATGCTATAGTTAGCACAGCTTACTCTCATCAGAGAACGTTTATAATGGAAGTCATGGGTCGCCACTGCGGGTAAGCGCCGACTATGTTCGTCGATTTTGTTATCGAGAGAGCAACTCGACATTTATACCGGTACACGATTTCATACATTGTCATTAGTTTTCGAAAGTAGAAAAGTATCGCCCGTGGTTCGTTCATTGCAATTTAGGACATGGATTTTAGTGTCTGTGTATTCGTTATCGCGCCGAATCGATGTTGACTCTTAGAAGTGAAACATAAACGAGCGACTTTCGATTAGGTATCTGGCTATCGTGGGCGCTTTAGCTGCGGAGGCAGACTATGTCTTCTTCCCAGAATGTCCGCCTCCCGTCGACTGGCCTGAAAAATTATGTAAAAAGTTGGAGCAGGCACGTCCAAGACTTTCTCAGATTTTATATAGATTGCATCGCTAAGTTTTTTTTGTTTTTTTTACTAACCTGACTAAACGTGAGGAATGAGTCTTTCTGTATATGTCGGTTTTTTTTAGTTGCTAAATGTGTTCTGATTTAATACTGGATCATATATGACATCTTGAATGTGTGTATTCCTCTAAACACGTGACGAAAAGAGGAACGAAAAGGCACTTACATTTCATCGTCGCGTATCAATTTAACATAGAGTCTGATGTATAGATGTAATGACGTGTCCGACGGTACTGGAGATAATTAGATGGCAGAGCCTTTCAGGTACCTGACATTAGCGTCAAGTTTGTCTACCGAAGCCACCTATTGCTTTATTCCTGAGTCTCCGACAAGTGGTGACTGGGTCGAGGAGCTATGCCAAGGTGTGCAACAGGCACGTTTCTCAACCAGTCGTTACTTTAAATTATTATTATTTAACGTACCCGGAATAAGCAATTAAATCAGCAATTTAGAGACACGCGAGAAAGTCGGAAACGCGTTTGTACCTTTTAAATCCGGTATAACTTCTCCGAGATGATCAATTGTAGCCAGAATTTGTACAAATTTTCTCACTTCTTTTCATTCATACCATTAGTACTTGCGTGAAAATTTATCCCAGATATGTTTCGCCCTACATTTTTCGTTCAAGCATAGCCTTACAAATTCATAATCGAACATGATCGTGAACAACTAACAACGGGCAACATTATTTTATATAATACTTTTTAAATATTGCATCGAAGTAGAATTTTAGTTAGGTTGACAATATAACGTTACAGTTATCTGGCTCTGGTGGCAGCCATATGTTGCGAGGCTGATTATGTTTTCATCCCAGAATGGCCACCCGAGCAGGATTGGCCCAACAAGCTGTGCAAAAAATTGTTGCAGGTTCGATAATACTTTTTTTTAAAATTTTTTAAAACAGGTATATTTATTTCTCCTGATGTATTCAACCTGCAAGAAAAATGGCACAACTTTCTGCAATTCACGCTTTGTTCCTTTATTACCGCAAACTATCGCATTTCATTTTAATTGCTTATTTTGATTATATTAGTTTGATTGATAAAACATTTTTTCGGCATGCTTTGAAGGTACTTTTTTCTCTCAATGTGAGAAAAAGTAATATTATTTAACTAAGTCAATGTGCATGCTATACTAAATTTATAACATTATGTGTGTGCATGTAATTTTACTGTTAACTTAAAAAAAGCATGTGAAAGCGCCTTACATACTTTAAAGATTTATATTTTAAATAAAATGATTTCCTTTTTGTATTATTATCATTAATCTCTGTAATCGTTCAGTGGATTACATTATTGTCTTTAATCATCTTTACTTCCTGTTTTTCACTGCTTTTCACTGCTTTTAGATATATTCGAGTAAACATTGAAACGTTAGCACATACGCTCGCGTGAAATTTTCGTTATTCTACAATTTTTCTCAGGAAAGGCTTACTGGTCAACGGCTGAACATTATTATCGTGGCCGAGGGAGCTGTTGACAGAAACGGCGACCCGATCACTGCTGATAAGGTGCACAAAGTCGTCGTAGAGAAATTACAGCAGGACACAAGAGTCACCGTTCTAGGCCATGTACAAAGAGGTGGCAATCCTTCAGCGTTCGATAGAGTTCTGGTAAGATATCGCGGTTTAGGATTTTTAATATCGAGATATAATGAATGTATCATTTCTCAATATATGTAACTTGATATTAAAAGAAATTTATTATTTTTAAATGTAACTTAAAACTCTTTTAATTAACGTATTAATTTTTCCTCGCGTACAATGTTATAAAATATAATGTACGTCACACTTTTGAGGGATAAATGTGCGTTACAGGGCTGCCGGATGGGAGCCGAAGCAGTAATGGCTTTAATGGAGGCGACACCCGATACAGAAGCCTGCGTCGTTACATTGGACGGTAATCAAGCTGTGAGATTGCCACTCATGGAATGTGTTCGTCGTACCAAAGCCGTAGCCCAAGCTATGGCCGATAAAAACTGGGAGCTGGCTGTTCAGCTTCGAGGAAAGTGAGTGAATCAACGCACGTCACCTACACGCGAGATACAAAGTACATTAATAAATGCACACGTCTATTTATTTTTTCTAGGGGCTTCGAACGCAATTTGGATACGTACAAGATGCTGACTCGTCTGAAAGCGCCGGACTTGGATGATACTAACAGGGTACAATCCTTTTCCGCTTACAGCTAAGTTTATTCTAACGACCCAAAAGCTCTGCGGTGTGTTTAACGCGATATTAATGTAGCTTTAATATGAAGAGGTAGATAGAAGTACATGGCAAAAATTTTGGGTCTCTGACATATATAAAATGATAATAAATAATGCCTAGTTTATTACTACATGTATTATTTGATACTGCTTCAGGAAGTTAGTGGCCGCACATTATCGAAGGTAAATCAGTTAAAAGCCTATAAGCATACATTCTTATCAAATTTTATACATAATGCCGATACGAACGTAATTCCCCCCCTAACGATAGCACATTTTTGCTCCCATAGCAATACACTTTATGTGGACAAGTGAGTTAATCCTTTGAAGTAGAGAATGTGTGCTTTGTGTTAGAAATATACATATAATCATTTACCGCACTTCACGTACACCACTCCGCAGGCAAACGGAACGAAAGCATTGTGCGCTATTTAATGTGCGACTTCATACATAAAATGCGGTCTTTCAGCTTCGCGTGCACGTTGCATGACGCACCACGTCGGCTTTCATCTCGTAAACCTGCGGTTTTATTACAGGATCACTACACGCTGGCGGTCATGCACATAGGCTCGCCGTCTTGCGGCATGAATGCGGCCGTCCGTTCCTTCGTGAGGAATTGTATCTATCGAGGCGATAAGGTACAATATATTATATATCGAGGAATTCGGTATATTACTCTGCGTAGTCTTGTTGCACTAACTTCTCAATGTCTCGACTTGCAGGTGTACGGTATCTGCGACGGAGTGCTGGGCCTGATAGCCGGTAGACTGAAATTGATGGACTGGCCGTCTGTCACCGGCTGGGTCTCAGAGGGTGGCGCGAAATTGGGAACGAAGCGCGCCCCGCCCCAGGAGGATCAGTTGCCCCAAATCGCGCAGAAGCTCAAGGAATTTGGAATACAGGCGCTGCTTATCATAGGTGGATTCGAGGTAATGAGTCCGCCGAGCCTTTTGCACAATTACAAATCCGTTTAGAGTTCGGTGTCGATAAAAGTGTATATTTTCATTCCCAGGGTTACCAGACCGGTCTCATGTTCTTCAAGGCGAGAGATAAGTTCGAGGAGTTCAGAATTCCTATCGCTATAATTCCCGCGACTATTAGCAACAATGTACCGGGCACCGAGTTTTCGTTGGGCTGTGATACAGCCTCGAATGAAATTACGGAAGTGAGTTCTGTGATTTCTTGCAGCTTTTACTTGGGGATATAATCAATGTCAAACTAATCGTCTCATCCGTTAGATCTGCGACCGCATTCGGCAATCGGCGCAAGGTACCAAACGTCGCGTGTTCATTATCGAGACGATGGGTGGTTTTTGCGGATATTTAGCGACTATCGCCGGTCTAGCCGGTGGTGCCGACGCGGCGTATATCTACGAGGAGAAATTCAATATCAAGGATTTGAATCACGATGTGATCGCGATGGCGGCGAAGATGTCGGAAGGCGTCGAGAGGGGTCTCATTATCAGAAACGAGAACGCCAATGAGAATTACAATACAGAGTTTATGTTCAGACTTTTTAGCGAGGAGGGAAAAGGTTTATTCAGTTGTAGACGGAACATACTTGGTACGCATCGTTAATTTGCATTCTTTTAAGCATATCCCTGATTATTTGATATGCGGTTTCGTCGTTGCTAAATATCTTTCCATTTCAGGCCACATGCAACAAGGAGGCTCGCCGACGCCTTTCGACCGTAACTTGGGAACAAAGATGGGCTCAAAAGCGGTGGAATGGTTCAGTGATCAATTGAGAAAATGCACCAGCCCCGAAGGCAAAACGTTCACCACGGCAGCGGACAGTGCGGTGATGCTCGGTATTGTCAGACGCCAATACAGATACACGCCATTCACGGAACTTATAGAAGTTACTGAATTTGAGTGCGTATCTTATTCAACTTTCTAATGAATCGTTTCAATGTAGGCTATGTGTTGTAACGCTGCTTTGCAAAAATTGTTTCAGACATCGCATTCCGACGTATCAATGGTGGATGAAGCTGCGCCCGTTGCTGAAAGTATTGGCGAAGCACGAGTCGACGTACGAAGAAGAGGGTCTGTACATAACCGTCGAAGAGATGGACGAGCAGAATGATCCGCCCCTCGTGTAAACAGTGAGATTAATCTCTTGAAGAGCGCCGCGGTAGATAACGCAAGGTGGATGTCGCTAATCGCGTGAAGAGTAGGCGCCGATTATTAGAAGTATCGCAGTATTGTATAAATTACGATAATTTTACTTCTGCTCGACGAATCTTATACTCATTTATGTGTATCTGAAAAAATTCAACTGTGTATATTAGTGGTCGTTATTTATTTAAGATTTGCACGCGATTTTTCAACGTATATAACTCGGGCAACCAGCAGATGATATGATCGAGAACATACAGGGGAAAGGGAGGGTGGGACATTTTTTTTTTCCGGCTCCGTCTTATTCGTATCTTGAACGTTTACGAGCTCAGGTAAGAAATGGGTACAAAGATAGTACCTGAAGCACAAAAGGTATCAAGTAATATCTTGATAATGTATTACCTATCGGTGCAGCTTGCTGATAAGGGCGATATCCTCCGTTGGCAACGAGACACGGAGTACGGTATTGTTACGCTATCTTATAGTAATGTTAAATTCGCGCGTTGCGTACATTGATGTATAGTATTGAAGATAAATTAGAATCGGTATATGCAAAATGTAGCGTATAGTAAAATGTACCAAGTTGAAGCGCTAAAGAAATAACGGGGCATAGAATCATTTTTACAGGAAATACGTAGAAACACGTGACTAAATTGGAGATGTGCAAAATCAATATTTGATATGCTACTCGAACGTAATACACACAATTTTGACACGTACCTTTTATTATACATGGATCCAGCAGTAAAATAATTCGCAAAACGTTTATTGGCGTCATTAGCAAATAGTGATATTATTTGTGCATTTTTGACGCTTTCGACATTACGGATGCTTTGTGAGTTAAAGAACTAACAGCCTCAAATCTCATTTTGACGTTTCGTTTGCTTAATTCGTCAGTATAACCAGGTTTAGTGGAACGCTTAATTGTAATTGTTCTTTTAGTTGTAGCACGGATCGAGAAGTAAATCAGATTCAGAGAAATTACAAGAGTTTCACAGATTAAACATTCTGAACCGTATTTGTGGTCTACTAAGGCATAGGATTAAAAAGTAATGCGGTATTTTGCGTCGGTGAAAGTGTTTATCTTTCGGTTTAGCGTTACTCGAAGCTATAAAAGGCTATTGGAGAATATACCTGTCTACCTCAAAACATAATTTTGCAACGGTCAACGAACGACTCGTAGGAAAGAAATTGACCTGAGTCGGCACGTTAGTTGCACATAACATTTAAAAAATTTTTGCTAAATTTAAGGCTTGTGACCACAAAAGTATTTAGATTTAATTCTTTTTCTCTTTCTCTCTCTCTATCCACCTCGCTCTCTCTCTGTCTCTCTCTCTCTCTCTCTCTCTCTCTCTCTCTCTCTCTCTCTCTCTCTCTCTCTCTCCCCCTCTCTGTCTCTGTCTTTCTCTCTCTCTCTCTTTACTCGTACATTTAACTTTCGAGAAAGTCGTGCAAGTATTAATCTCATAATTGTTTTCGGCGTATAAGATAGCGTTCGTCGTGTCCTTACGCGACTCTAGAGCCAGATGATTACACTCTGGTACCATCGGAAATTACGTCTTGTGCAAACTTTTACTCGTGTTCGTGTGAGTTCATTTAAGTGTCAGGATAAAATTACCGACTCGTGATTTTAACGGGAATACGCGTAACACAGGGAAACTTGTGCGCGTGCCGTAATTTTTTCAACGTAGTTAACACGCGCCTAAGAAGTATGGAGCTCTTGACGAATTTTATTCGAGTGCCAATTAGCGCTCGCAATGCTATATTTAAGATTGGCTTAGTAGGTAGCGATTAATGCATGCTGCGAGAACGAAAATGGTAAAACTTCGAAGGTACAATGATGTACGCATACGTTACGATTTACTCGACCTGAGTAATGACGTAAGAAAAATTATATATATATATATAATACATAACAATTATATTCGACAAATCGTTTGTTTAAAGTCGTTCCGAATTGTATGATGTCTACTAGTATGCGACAGATGAAATAGCTCTTGTTGAAAAGCAACAGAATTATATCACTACTGACACTTGTTTAAACGACCACGTAGAAACCACGTTTATCCAGTAACGTCTTATCAGAGAGGCTGAACTGTCGAACGAAATAAAAGTGCGATCGTGTGGGAGATGCGATAGGGCTCTCATAAATTATCTCTGCATAAAATTATTGTAATCTGCATCGGTATGCTTGTTATGTTTCTCATTACATTTCGATAGGCTTTTATTTCCGGACAAGTATATATTACAAATTTTTTAATCGAGGATATTGATTTTTATAAAAGTTCTTTTTTTTTTCATTTTAACGTGTAATATCACAGAGACCGGAGCACAGAGCGCCCGATACGGAATTAACGTTTGAGTTGGATATATTATAAATCGAGCTTCTGCCGGTGCGAATAAACATCACGTTTGATATTTCTTTAATATAGCAGCCGTTGGAATGAAATGTACGAACGTATGATCACAGTATAACTAGTAGGTCCACTCTCTGTCGGGCCCCTTTGCGGTGCCGATCACGTGGTATTTCGCCATGGGCCTACTAGTTGTACTATGGTGCGATTATCGAGCGCTTGTATATCCACGCACTACACCACCGTTCTAGTTACACACACACGCGCGCGCGCGCGCGAAAATGTACAAATAGCACTTGCATAATGTCGAACCGTTAGCTGCCCGTCGCCTAGCGCAATAAGAGTATAAAAGTAATATATATATATATTATTTTTAAGATTTTCAGAGATATATTTTTGACTCATTGTTGATCAATGAATTTACAACCCACTCGGCAGCGCATGTGTATAGTGTTAGAGTTATCGTATTTATTTTTCCCTCCGGCGATTGTGTGAATTTATCGACGTCGCTGCATGCCCGACGGTGCGCTATTGTAACTCGCCGACAATCCGGAACATCCCGCGCAATTGATTGCCGCGACGGAGCGTCTAAGTTTAGGAGGAACCGCTACATATTACGCACGATGTTGTATCCATGACGTGAAATAAACTATATCTTCTTAACACGTTACTCAAGCACGTCACCCGATACGTTCTTATTTTTCTCTCGGGGCGATTATATTCGAGTACTTTTCCTCGCGTATCGTTCGTCGTGCGGTATTTTCGATTCAAATCCGCGCGAGGCGCGCCGGGTACATCGCTCTACGAGTCAAGCGAGCGTCCGAACCGGCGGCGTCGCGTTTTTCCCCGTCTCGCTCGGTGTTGACCGAACCGGAACAAAGGCAAAATGTACTTAAATCTCTCCAGGGATAGAGAGGGAGCAGAGAACGATTCGTAAACACTCGAGTCCGTCTTACTCGCGGACGTAAGGCAAGGCGGGGAAAAGTCCAAGTCGCATTACGACTGGGAGAAAAATCCAAGTTCAAGCTTTTCCCCGCCTTGCCTCACGTTTGCGACCAACGTAAGACAGGCTCGGTTTCTTCTTCTTCTTCTTATTCTTATTATAGGCACTCGGCTCATAAACAACTGAGCCGACACGGCCACGGCGAACCTTTAGTCCTCCACAGTAAACCCACGTCGAACCAATATTCTAAATAGTTAGACAATGCAATGGCCCGGTAACCGGTCCACGCGCGAGATGATGCAATCCCGCAAGATCAAAAATTAATCTTCCGTCGGAAGACGTGCGAACCACCCAACGGCCCAGACGGGACTACAGGCTCGGTTTACATGCGACAATTTACTGAGGTAGCGTCCTTCGTAATAAATTTCTTTAATTAGAATCTGCGGGCCGTGGGTCGTCGAGCAATTTTCCACGTTGGTTAATCAATTACTGGCGTGAAATAGTCGTTGGCGTCATTCACGGCCTGTTCTCCGCCGTCAGGCCGTAGTCGGCGATGTGTCAGCATGACGCGCGCGGTGCCAACGGGTTAGGGGAGCGAGCGCCACATTGCTCGGCGCTGGCCGCCGCCGCCGCCGCGTGGCGTACACGCGCATGACGTTCCCCACGCCGCCGGCGAAGCCCGTCGCGCTGGCCCGCGCGCGCGTGTCCGCTCCCGCTCGCTCGTCCGCCTGACTGATCGCCCTCCGGTTCCGTGGTCGTGTCGGCGATCGCAGTGAACGGCACGCTACCGCTCGGTCAAGATGGTCGCGGTGAAGGGACGCAAGAGCACGAGCAAGAACCCGCCGATCCTCAGCCACGAGTTCATCATACAGAACCATGCGGACATCTTCTCCTGCGTGGCTATGGTCTTCGTGATCGGCCTCATGGTGCAGGTGACGGCACGCGCTACTTCCATCCCCCCCGGCACCGCCGGGCCCCACGTTTCGATCTGTCATTCGTTTGCGGGGAGACACGCTCGTAGCGCGAGGCTCCCTTCCGCCCTCGGTCTCGTTTTTAAGCGGACGCCGGAGAAGTAGGATGACCATATGTTAACTGAGTCGCGCGTACGAATTGGCGTTCTTTCGTCTGTTACGCCCGCGAAGACTCTGGCCCCCTCGGCTGGCGGCTTCTCGCGGCCTCGTTACGTGTCCCCGTTCGCGAACATATTGGTGTCGGAGACGACGCGCGAATGCGAATGCATCTTCACCGCCTGAGACGAGTAGCCGGGCGAATGTCCCTCTTTGCTTATTTCACGTTTAATTTTGAATTTCCGGCGCTTGTCCGATCGCACATGTTGACTCGTAGGCACTTTGGCGAGCGCATTTTTGTATTAATCGCAGAGAAGAGGCGAGGGATCTGTCGGAAACGGTGCAGTTTATCTTGTCGGAACGTTCGACCGTCCAGTCCTCGCGTCTGCCCTTTTCCCGGCTATTCCTTTTTTTTAAGGAGACTGTTTCTCATCGCAGGTTACCTCACCATGGGCCTACATGTTCATCGCCCTTCACCACAATGTGACAAACACCACCGAGGAGCCAACGGCGCCGATTAGGTACACCACCGGCTGGAAGGATGGGTGTGCGGTGTTCTTTTACTTCCTGATAGCCATTATAATGCACGCCGTGCTGCAGGAATATATATTCGACGTGAGTACATTCTCCCGAGATACCGACCGACCGTAGGACTGCGTTCAAGCTTTCGCCTTTGCAGAAAATGTCCAAGCGGCTTCATCTCAGCAAAGTGAAGCTCTCTAAATTTAACGAGTCCAGCCAGTTGATAGTGTTTTACACGCTGTCTGCGCTCTGGGCCATCGACATTATAATCAGGTGATGGACAGATTCGTCAAGGGAGACACGACGGAAAGTACGTGTCGGGCATAGGTAACGGTCTCTTGGTCTTTCAGGGAGAATATACTTACGAACCTATGGATACTGTGGGAGAGTTATCCGGTGCCGATGTCCGCCTCCCTGAAACTATTTTTCATCGGTCAGCTGTCCTACTGGCTGCACTGCTATCCCGAGCTCTATTTTCAACGAGTTAAGAAGGAGGAGATCTTGCAGCGCGTCCTCCACGCAACCATCGGATGCTTCTTCACGTTCTCGGCGTATTTCTTCAAGTAATGTTACAGTATATGGACGTTTATTCCCTGCTATTCGCCAGTTTATACGAAAATATATATTTGTCGTGCCCCGCAGCTTCCAGCATCTCGCCCTGATCTTGTTAACTCTCCATTACGTGGGAGACGTTTTGCTACATACGGCCAGACTCGTTCACTTCAGCAGCCAGAAGGAAAAGAGAACAAAATGTAAGCTGCCTTCAATTTATCTAGCTACTATACGCAGAGAACGATTTCTTCGGATTTAATACATTTTATTGTATCTGCGATTAAACTCAATCGAATAAACAGGAACACTAAATCCAAAGAAACCTTCATCTCTGTGACATATAGCGTAACTTTGACTTAATACGTTCGTTTAATTTTTTTCTCTTGCTACACAGTGGTGTTCCTCGTTGCCAATTCAATTTACGTGGTCGCGCGCCTTGCGACCATTGCGCTCACGTGTGTGGTGTTCCTGTACGGTTTGGCGACGCAGGAGGTGAAGTTCGACTATGCCACCGGGAACTATAATACTCCCGCTCTGCAGTACTCGGCGGCACTGATTATCTCGCTCTTCCAAGGCTATCTCCTGTACGTCTTCGTCGCAAAGCAGATTAAACGCTCTCGTGAAAATGCCGCGCCCGTTGTGGTGAAGACGAAGCCGAAGCAGAAGTCGAAGAAACGAGAAGGTGGAGACGATTTGTCGTTACATACCTCGCAATTATTTTTATTGTTATTATTCATATCGGAATTTCTTTCGTTGAAATAAAACGCAATAAAATTTTGGCATGTTGTACAGGCAAGAAATCTGACTACGACGACTACGACTGTCTCCCAGAAGTAGACCAGGAGACGAAGAAGAATCTGAGAAATCGTCCTTCAGCGAAGGCAAAATAGACGCTCAACGAATTTGAGAAATCATCCTCGCAAGGCCACTTGGACATTCGACTTTATTCGCCTGTGTGTTACGAATATGTCACAATATTCGACTAAGGTGTACAAAAACACATTCTCCTTAATGTGAAAATACGAAGCTTCCATAATGTTACCGATTAAAATTCTCGCCGTGCGAGATGCTGCAGTATTCGGTACTTGATTTTGCAATCGACAGAGACGGAAAACAGGTTTTTAATATTTTACGAAAGAATTAGGCACACGATATTCGCTAGCGGGTATTTTTAGCTGCAGATCAGTTTTTCTTTTCACCATTTTATCGCTTTCATACGAATTATACAGATAAATTTTACATTCATACAGAACCGCGGAATGTTAGTGCGCGTACACTTTGGTACGTTGTCCTTTTGCGCGCGTTACATACATTTTTATAAATATATAAACGCGCGTTTATAATCTAACCGTAAGAGAAATTTATACGATTTTATCTCTGTCTGCCGTTACTTGAGGTTCTCTATAAATTTTTCTGCACACTGATTTCTCACGAATTTAGAGCTGATTAAAATAGACCTATCCAAGTTTCTGCTCTTCGATCTCGCCTTCATCACCCTGCCACGGAGGTGAGATCGAAGAGAAAGCTGAGTCCCCGCCAGATGATGAGCTTGGACTGGTCTTGCTACCCTGGATTGTCCTTGGAATAGAATAGAGGCACATCCCTATTACGTTAATATTAAGTCACAAGGAAAAAAGTACATAGGTACAATGCACGAAATAATACTCTGGACCAGAACGTATTACGAGAATCACGCTCCGTAAAAGATATACATATCCTATTATGGAATTATATTGTTACACTTAAATATAAGTTTTACTATTTTTTAATACATATATATCGATGGAAAAGGACGGTCTCGTTATTACAGCACCGCGCGCTCGGCGAATGATTGTATTTCTTTAAAATTACTATTCCAAGGAAGAGGAAACGAACTTCTTGAAAGATAAGAGTTTTTTAAAAATATTCCCACTTCTGCAATCTTTTATATACTGTCGAATTTCTATTCTTCATTCTTTTCCTAGTCGTGCAGTAAGAATTTAACACCACGATTCCTCGATCAACTTTCCATTTGCGTCTACGATCTATTTTTTTCAAGATGATTTAATGTGCAACGATTGTTTGAAAATTTATTAGCTACCTTGTTAAATATAAATAATAGTGTTAACCGAATAAGATTTATAGTTTTGTGCCTTTTACGCCTATCTTTTTGAAGCCTGAGTTTTAGTGCACTCATAGTAATGTCGGAAGAAGAAAGGAGGGAAAAAGATTCCATAAATATCTATTTCTACAGTTGGATAAAAATAAAGCGTTCAATTTTAATTAAATTCTCGATGTTAAAGAAAGTTTGTATCGAGTTTGATGAAGCACAAATACTCGCATATAGCAATGCCAGAAGAGGGAAGAAAGAAGGAAGGAAAAAGATTCCTTGAAAAGTTGGAAAGACTAAAGCATTCAATTTTGATCAAAATTCTCAAATTCTCGGTATAAAAAAAATCTGTATCTCAAGTTCGATGAAACATAAATACTCTAATATAGCAATGCCAGAAGAGGAAAGAAAGAAGGAAGGACAAAGGTAAAGCATTTAATTTTAATCAAATTTCTCAAAATCTCGATACCAAAGAAATCTGTATCGAGTTTGATGAGACATAATGCATTAATATAGCAATGTCAGAAGAGGAAAGAAAGAAAGGAAAATGGTAAAGCATGAAATCCCTATCTAAAAAAGGTGTTGCGAGTTCATTGTTGTCGCTTTTCCGCGATGCCGATTGGCTCTCTCGAAGCAACATGCTGCGAAAGCAACACGCCGGCAAACCAACACGGTGTAGAAATAATAAACAAAAAGTAAAAATAAAGTTTGCTTACACGAAAAAGGAAGTTAATTATTTCTACACCACACATTATTTCATACTTATAGACTTTCAATAATACGCACGGAAAAAAATAATTTTGCTATTGCAGCAAAACTGTTGCTGCTACTTAAATACTGCCATATTTGATAATAACGTGATGACGATACGAAAATTGCTTTATTATTAAGCCAGATTTTGACATTTATTTAAAAGGAACGTGATATAGAATGAATGAAAATGATAGTGACTAAAAGTGAAATTTAGTAAAAATGATAGAAAACTAAAAAGAAGAGAATAATGTTAATTGGCGTGCGCAATATAATATTTTAATGTTCTAATATAATGTGGAAGAACAATGGCGCGCGCTTGTGTTGTTCTAGTTTGAATTGCCCAGTTCGGCTCGCCGGGGGCAGGGGGAGCTCTGTCGTACCGACCGAGAACGGCGGACGACCAGGTCGCCGCGGGTTATCACCGACGGCGGGCGCTGGCGTAGTCGGGCGCAGCGCGAGAGCGAGACAGTGCGCGAGTGGGAGTGCGAGCGGTGCGGTGGGTCAACTCGGCCGTCGTAAGCCGCGGGGATTATGCGAAGATGTATCTGAAGCGGGCGTCGAAGCTGCTGGACCTCACGGTGTCGCGCACCGCCGCGGACGTGCACCTGCGCGACCTGACGTGCCCGATATGCCGCGGCATCCTGATCGAGCCAGTGACGCTGCCGTGCACACATAACCTCTGCCTGCGCTGCCTGCAGGGCACATTCGAGCACAATAGCCTGAGCTGCCCGCTGTGCCGCGTCCGGGTGGGCTCCTGGGTGCGCGCCGCCACCCGCTCCGAGACGCTGGTGAACCACGGCCTCTGGGAGCTGATCAGGTCCAAGTTCCCGAAGGAGGTCGAGAGCAAGCACAATGGTGAGGAGGGGGACCTCGGCTTGGACGCTGGTGAGTGACGCGCATATATATGCGTTCGATACACGTACACGTTCGCGTACGCGCGCGCGCGCGCGCACACGCTCGCGCGTCCCAGCAATAAACAAATGTGACATAACCTAAGCGATTTGTGTTTACCCGTCGAATGACATTTCGCGTGTCTCTGATAGATGCTCCCGCGAGTTACGTAATCTCGATGCCGTTCGGCGTTGTCGGTCCTGCCTTCCGCCCCCCTCCCCGCCCCCCCCCCCGTTTCCTTTGAAGCGATTTTCAATCTGATACGCACTAGCGGTCGCGATTGTCTCTTGACTCGTTGAGCTTATTGATATTGAATGATTGTAATTGACGAGTGTATACAGTACGCTCCGATTTCGTTGCGAGATACTACAGAGGAGTGTTGTTCTCTCGTGCAGATTATGCGGCGAATAGGATACTCAGCGCGGCCGGGGAGATACACCGGGAGTACAAGGCTCAACTTCAAATGGCCGAGGCAGAGATGCGACGTCAGAGGCAAGCGGAACAAAAAGCCAGCGAGGCCCTGATTCAGCAGATTCAGGCGGAGGACAACCAGTTGTTGGTGCAGCTGGCGCAGGATCAGTTGCTGGCCAAGAGCCTGGCGAGGCAGCAGCAGAAGGAGGCGGCCAAGTGTTACAACGAGTGCCCGTCGGTGCCGAGTTACGCCTTCAACGAGCCCAAGTTCAACTATACGACTGTGCGTGTAAATAATATCGAGATGCCACCGTTGGAAACCGCTCGCTTGGAGGGCAGGCACGTGGGTCTACCCGAGTCTGTCAGAGACAACTCGAAAACGAGGCAAATGAACATGTCGTTGTTGTCTAAGATGGAGATGTACTCCAACGTATACGGCTCTAAGGAGGCGAACGTGTCTGGCGCGCACAAGAATCCGGCCGCGTATTGCTGCCAGAAGCAGATGCCCGTCTACAACGCCGTCGCCAAGAAGCATCAAACTGTGTCCAAGTTCACCCAACCGTGCGCTTCGAATTACCCCGCGGATCCGGGCTGCTCCACGTCCGGAGCTTACGCGATGGAGACTAAGGAGGAGCTGCGAGTACCGAGCGACGTGGTGAACAGCAAGAAGAAGAGCCTTGGGGTGGAGGTGTGCATGACGCTGGCCGACGACGACGAGAGGATAGGAAGCGCCGAGAGTTCCGGCAGTCACGACAGCATAAATCAGGAGATCCATCACTTCAAGCCGATTAAAACGGTGCCGAGGACGAAATTGCTAATTTCTTCAGGTATGTCGCTGTCGAAAAGCTGGTAGGAATGTATCTTTTGATACAATCGCGATTTGCGCACCAAAATCTTTTTCAATATCACTTTTATGTTCGCGTGTGTATGTGTGCGTCTGTTTCCAGATGGAAAACAGGTGGATCCGAGGTTGATTAGGGTGATCCCTATTTTAAAGAAAGTGTTTAATGCAGTGCCAAAACCTCCATCGCCGACATACGTGAAGCGCATTGGATGCTCTTGGAGCGCCTTCAGAGGTAAATTACAGATACTCGTAAATATCATGTGTTATACATTTGTACCAATTTAGATTCTTAGGTAAAATTACCTAAAACTACAGGCCTGCGTTCTTTTATTTAATCACAAGATGTTATTACAGGTAAGATAAGACAGGACGCGAGGGAAAAGCACGCTGCGCACAGTCTCAAGGATAATGCCGGGACATCAATTGATCAGAAGCCGTCGACGTCGTTCACTCATCCTCAACCGATGTCGAATAAGCTGACGACAAAGCCTCAGACAAACGACGCTATCCGCCGACTCAATTTTATACCCGAACCGCCGTTCGATAGCAACAAAAATTATACGAGGAATGCAAACAAAGCAATCAACGGCACTAAAGTGAAGAAGAAGTTGTTGGACGACGAGGCGGACGCAAGAAAAACACGCAAGTCTTGGCGGACGAGCGTGCGAAACGGCATGGTAGCAAAATCTAAACGATATAGGAACCTACGGAGCAGAAAGGAAGCCAGACTTACTGTGACGGACGATGAGGACGATCCGGCGGGCTCCAATTCGTCATTCAGTAAACCGAGTCCGCAAACCGGCGAGAGAAACGGTGACGATGACGTGGCCGTCGAAAATATAGCGGAACGAATTAAAAGGAGGAAAGAAAATGCGGACAAAAAGACGCTGGAACCAGAAATGGAATCCAATGCGTCTAAAAGAAGCAGAATAGCAACGAGGAAGAAAGCGTCGTCCGAGAGGACAGAGGAGACACCCGCAGTGGATCGTGCCACGTTCCCGACGTCTCAAGAGAGCGCGGAAACTGACGGGAGTTGCGCGAGAAGGGCGAAGCGGCGAAAAAAGAGCAGGAGCTCGCAAAATACGGAAGATCTGGAGAGAAACGAAGTCTCGACGGACGCTGCGTACGTCCCGAGGAAGTCCGCGCGAAACTTAACGAGGATCTCTTCTATGGCAAGCGAATCGGATGCCGCGCGCAACAAGAGTAACAGCAAGTTCAATTACGACTCGCCGCCGGAGTCTTGCGACGAGACGGACGAGTGCGCCCCGGAGAGCGACCATACCGTCGGTATCTGCGTCGGCAAACTCCTCTCGGACGAAGAGGTGATCGAGGAGCAGCAGCGCATCGAGCGATTGCTGCTGCAGGAACGAGAGGACTTCGAGCTGGCTCGTCGCTTGCAGACGCAGTTCGACGAGATGGAGCGAATAGCCGGACGCACTAGACGCTCGAGGCAAGTCGGCGGCGAGAGGAGCGTCAATGTGAATTTGCGCGAGATGAACGCGACGAGGACGGTCCGCGGGACGGGCGGTGCGCGCAAAGCCGCGAAACGAAAATCGATGGTCGGTCGAGCCGCGGGCGCCGCGGCTAAGGGTCAGCGCGGCAGGCCGAAACGCATGAAAATCACAGTTGACACGCGCGAAGACGAGACGCGCACGCGATAATCGTGTTCACGGCGCGTGAGAACTCTCCACTATTGGATGTTCCTATAAGCCATATGTTTGACGGAAGAGAATTCTATTTGAAACCGTAGACTTTTGTATAGCGTCTTGTGTATTTTTTAACGAATCATTTGCGTCGTATCGAATATATGTACCTGGATACATCGCGAGAGTACGAACGGGAAGCGGGTTGGATTATCTTCGGATTAACGTCGTTTTCGGTGTCCGCACGGTAAAACGTCTACGTGCCGTTTTTTTTTTTTTTTGGTTCCTAACGCATCGATCGTGCACGTTTTTAAAAGTATAGTGGCGAGAAACGCGCGTTGTGCTCATGTATGTACATTCCTCCCCCCCTCCCTCGGAACGACCGGCCTAAATTTTACCAAATCTTGACCGATAGATTTTTTTTCTTTTCAGCGAGAAAATTTTTTACGATTGGAGTTGACGTTTCTCTGAGACACCTCGTATCTATATTTCTATTAGTCTCTGAAAGAGTGAAATATCGCATTATAATCAAAACGAAGAAGAGCGACAATATTTGGGCGAGAACGTTGTTACATTTAACTGGGAGCGAAAAAGAATCGAGTGCGAGCCCGTAATTTCGACGGCGAGAGATACGCGAGATTGAAACTGTAGTTTTATACGGTGATTACATTTATTTTTTAAGAGAGCTTGTCTAAGTAGATTTAAGTCGCTACTCATTATAGCAGTCCCATAACAACATTAGGCATATGTAAATTTATTAATTGCAATAATTCTCTCGTGAAAGTTCGATTACGCGCTGACAGCTGACTGGTCTTTGGTTCCTTCGCTTTCAGCAAGGCGCTAAATCGCGTAGTGATGACCGCCGCGCGGTGTCATGCTCGTTGTCGGTGGTTTCCGGCAGAAACTTTCTATGGAGAACTACTCTATCGAGATATGTGTATTTGTATTTCTATGTGTCATTCCCGTGAAAGTTAGTCAAAACCGAGAGAGAGAAAGAGAGAGAGAGAGAAAGATTTAATCGAGCTTCCATTTTAGCATAAAAAAAAGAGAGACGCAGAACCGTTTGAAACTCGATTACCTCGAGCTAACGTTCACGGGGACCATCTTTATGTAAAGTTTGTTACGTGACATTTATACACCGACACCGTCGGGAGAGGCAGATTATAATTTAATAATTGTGTATAGCGTTAAGAGAGATAACTATATGTTTGATAAGATCCGCTTGGTATCGCAATCGTCTGTCAGCTTCGACGGCCTTGATTATCATACTGCAATCGAATTAATTGTTACAAATTAAAGTAATTATATTAAGAGAGAATCTATACCCTATGCACGATCGTGCGACGGACTTAATTCGCTGGGCGCAGAGGCTATTTGTCAAAAAACATAGTTTGCGAGCTACAGTTCCTTCACCGCTCACAGTTCCGTTTTCGGTAGGCTCGAATTTTCTCTCGCCCGTACACGCCGATCACATTAGTTCGCAATACTTTTTTAATTGTTTTTTTTATTGGGGGGGAGGGAGGGAGGGAGGAAGGATATGGAAATAAATTCGCGTCCACGCCTTTCGCGCTTCTCCTATTTGTGATACTATCGCAGTATTTTACATCCGAAATTCGTCCTTAAGTCTTTATCGTTAACGATTACTGCCGATAGTGTTTTGCTCTAAAATGCTGTCGCGTGTGAGCCCGCATTTCGCACTCGTAATAGCGGGCAAGTACTTTTAACGAATATTCATAATTTAACGCGTATATTCTGGGGGCTAGCGCAATTCTTTCTTATCGAAATTTACCGTTGACAGGAAAATCGGTAACTTCGTTAAAAAAAAAATGTCTGACGCAGTCAGAAATATTTATTATACGCATCGTGACTCGAACTAGACAGAACGAGTTCTCGACATTGAAATTATTATTCTGAATACGATAAGTCAAATCGAGAATACTCTCGGTGCAACGCAGCTACAATTCCTTCCCTTAAGTCTCACAAGAGAGAGAGAGATTTTTGCCGAACGTCATAAAAATGCACAGAATATTCTCTTTAATGTCCATATTATTAAAGCGGAGGATACTCTTGTAGAAACACGGAAACGATAAGCAGATGGGGAGACATTCGGATTCGGAAACGATTTTAATGAGCTGTGGGTGTATTTTTTCTCCCAGAGCAGCCGGGAAATAAAAGGGGGCGGTCTTTCATTCCGAGCTGTTTTACGACAAATCCAGAATTTGCGAATTCAAAGAGGCTTCCGAAAGTTTCCTCGTTAGTGCGGGATAAACGGGAGAACAAAGGGAACGATTGTGAAAGGGAGGATGTTTTCATCACTCCTGCTACGAACCTTCCATATTTTTTTTTCTATTCACGATTTATTTGAACGCGACATGTATATTTGCCGTTAAAATATATTGCACGAATTATTTGTTGTCCGCTGCATGAATATAGTCTTTCAACCGTCTTTCTTTCTCTTTGTGTACAATAAGTTTTAAGTATAAATATATGGCGTGCCGCGTGTCGCGAATACGTTTCATAAATAATCTGTGTAATAAGTAACCGCGAGAAAGACGAAATAAAGGCGGTTGATATCGTTAGGGAAAATCGCACGAATATATTATATGTAAACTAATCTAACAATAATATATAGTGTAAAGAAAGCATATGGAATTTATGGAATAAATCATAGAGAATGTATAGAGAAGATATTTAGTTATAGAGCGACACAGGATAGGTCAAATATTACGTCAAATATTATTGATAACGTTTAAGTAGAGCGTCGTGAGAGGAAGAGAGATTAATGCAAGCGTAATCTATTAACTCCGAATGATTGACCGGAAGCACTCATTATGAAACTTTTAGGGAGAGTCATTTTTATATTATGTCATATGGTTTTGCGCAATAGAAGATGTAGCAAGAGCAACGGTAGCCTTCGAGAAATCGCGGGCGGTTTTTCTCTTGATATGTTTTATATGTGAAAACGAATAAATGACTGTAACTATTCTAAGAGTGTCCGTCGTTTATTTGCAGCGTGCCAAAGGATCCTCCGTCTTGTATGAAAAACGACTATCGACGCTTTAATAAGTAAACGACCATCGAGATCTACCGTAAGATACTTGACAAAATGATTAATTTCTCGCCAAGTCTCTTCTCGGAACAATAAGAAACATTTTGACGCAATGATGACACAGGTGGGATAAAATTGTCCTTTCGAGCTGAGAATAGAAATCTGATAATGCAACAATAATCTACACATAATTAATAACGAACAATATTTTCTTCGCGGAAAATTAAAGACGACGATTTTGCGAGACGTTATCTCAATTTAGAATTTAATTGAAACTGTGTCGTTCTTTGGATCCGATGAAATATTGTTATGCACACGCACGCTAATTTGGTCAAGGGTATCAGCGAAGGTAAATATCCTTTCTTACGCAATAAGATTAGTAAGTTATAACGCTATTGTACGTCATAACTAGCAGAGAATCTTCGTCTAATTGTGATACACAAAACAAGAGAGATTCTTATAAAGTTACTCAAGGGATCTAATTAAGGGCCACGGCACTGTATCTTCTTAAAGTTGAGTATTTTGTTTCTTTTGATAACAATTCTCATTAGAATTTATAGGAGCTGAAAATGTATATTATTTGACAGATGGTAGAGAACGAAATTTTACGGTATCAAAAGTTGCAAGATATTCTCAAACATCAATGGAGATATGTAATACTTTTATACGAAAGATATTAAGTTATGTGTAATATTAAAATATATTCTAATTAATAGCGTATATAATTAATAATATATTATTTACATTATATTATTTTCCCCTGACATGAAATTTAGAAATAGATCTAGGAACAGATAATAGAAGCCCTCAAATAATATATGGTGATTGTTAGTCAAAAGAATTTGTTTAAAAAAATCTTTAAATTAGCTTCGTTCAAAGTGAACTCGAAAAATGTCTTTCCAGATTTGTTCTGAATACAAAGAATTCCTTTTGTACTCGAAATATGGCTCGGCATTGGTGACGTGAAGGCGAACTCTTTTTCAATTTTTAAGAATGTTTTCAGAAGAGAATTGGTGAAAGAATTTATTTCATAATTCGGAAATTCAACAAGTACCCTTTTCTCGATTCTCTGTGCCATCTCTGGGCTCTAATTCAAGATCTCGATATTTATATATTTTTCGTAATATCTTGTGACTTTCGAGATAACTTGAAACTTACTTATTGCTAATAATCCCTTAAGACGGGAGCCGCAATGAGCGACCTAGTGATACGCGCCTAGGGTGGGATTTTGGCGAAGCATTTTATGAGCTCAGACATGCACAACTAATTCCAAAAATGTGACATATGATTATCTCACTGAGAAACAATCGATTTTTTTCATTAATGTTTTTCCTTGTTTTCGGCTTACTCACTAAAAGTTAATCAGTGCATCATCACTGAATAATTCAGTGCTATACTTAAAGGAAAGTTCACGATTATGAGATAGACTTCTTAATATGAGATAGCAGGTTTTCAATATCAAAATCGCAAATCTTTATTCACAACGATCTAACAATGAATTTTCCACTCAACAGATTTCACTCCACGGATAATAAATTAACGACGAGATCAATAGATGACGCCCATTTAATTAGCAAATATTTTTAGCAGCTTATTTTAGCTAAATTAATTTAGCAAAAACCCTGCTATCTCATATTAGGGACTTATCTCGTAATAGGGGATTTTCCTCAACAACTCTGAACATTCGCTGTTTTCAGTGATAATCCATTGATTGACTTTTAGAGAGTAAATCGATACACCGCATATTTACGTAAGGATTAAATACAAGACAATTATACTTGTTAACGAAAGAGACTGCGATCGTATTGCCGTATGACCGATTAGGCGAGTGACAATTGCGATTGCTCGATTATCCCTCGGCGATTAAAGAAGATGAAAAAGAAATCCTCTCGCGGAGCGGCAGGGGCGCCAAGGGGAAAACGGCAGGGCAGGTATGCGGCTTGCGCGTAATTGCTGGCGAGCTACAATTGCGACAGCTTGCACCAACACTCGTTGCGTCACCGCCGCGAAATAGCCGAGGGCCGATATTCTCGCGCGCGATATTCCGCGTCCCATCAACCCCGTTTCCTCCGCGAACTTGCTTCCCGCTTCCCGGGTACTTTTGCCTCGAGATTATGCGGAGACCGCGATGAAACAACTGCATAATCCCATTGTCGTCCCCACAACTCGATTATGGCCTTCCCGTAGTAGGTCTGCTGATTACCGCGTGAATTAACATCGCCGGGCCCTTACAATGTGGCCATCTTTCCCTTTGCAAACTTGTCCACTGAGGCGATTTCGTAATCATTCATCTAAAACACGACGCCTCCTCTCGACACGTAACGGCGTCAGTTTATTTAGAAGGAGCGGGACACGATTCCTACCAATTCGTTGTACCTGCCGGTCGTCACTTGCCACTTAATTCTTTTCTCGCGTAATCGATCTGCTAGTAATTACCGGGATTCAATTAAATCGCAATTAGCCCGCAGACGCGCGCGGTACGTCGCCGTTGCGTTACACCTGTAATTAAAAGGCGGCGTCTCGATTGAATTTTTATGCGAGTCGAGCGATAAACCGTGTATTGTCCCGGATCGATGGGCTCTCCCTCTGATGAATAGTTAAATGCATATGTTTCATTTAACATACGAAGCCTATTTTAATCGGGCAAACACAAGTTCGTTACGCAAGCCAGGTTTTGCAGATCAATAGTAACCTCGTCCCACAATCCCGGCGCTTTAAATCGATATCAAACGGTTACGCAAAATATATAAACAATTTGACGGCTAAATGCGTAACACGTTCAGAGAACTTACTTTCCGTTTGTTAATCTGTTGCGCGAGTAGAGCAATCCGTTGAGTAATTTCGTTGGCCGATTTCGAATTCGCCATATTGTTCCAAATTACGACACCATGTTTAAAATTCAAGTTGAAACACAGGAACGATCTCTCTCGTAGGAAAAATAATCTTAGACAGATTCTACAGTGCCTGAACTTACGGAAAATATCGCGAGTGTACAGATTTTGCCTCGGCCCGATTTCTTTCGAGCAGCTTTTCAACTCGGCCTCAAATACTTTGAGGGAATTAAAAAAATAAAACTTGTAACAAGGTGCGTTTGTTCCGCAGTTCTTCAAACCGTATAGCACAGAAGCCCGCAGCCAGTTTACAGCAAACGTTGCAGTGTACATTGCAATGCTGCGGAAACATGATAAAAAAATTAATTTGCAATATACACTGAAAGGCAGGAACGATCTCTCTTGTAGCAAAAATAATCTTAGACAGATTCTACAGTGCCTGAACTTGTGAAAAATATCGCGAGTGTACAGAGTTTTCCTCGACTCGATTTCTTTCGAGCAGCTTTTCGACTCGGCCTCGAATACTTTGAGAGAACTTAAAATAAAACTTGTATCACGGTGCGCACAGAAGCTCAGATTACAGCAACATTGCCGTGTACATTGCAACGCTATGCGGAAACATGTGTAGAAAAAGAAATGTGCATTATACTTCGAACGCTGACGCAGCGACATCTCGACGCAATCCTGTGAAAATAACGTTTTACGCGCGCGCGCGTGTGTATTTTGCAGCAACTCTTGCGGCAGCGTTTCGCAAAGCGTTGCTGCAACCTTGCTACGTTACAAGGAAAGTAACATAGTCGCTCGTTAAAATCGCCACGTTTCCTCAAATAGAATGGAAAGCTCTCTCGGGATAATTAGAGCGCCTTAAAATCTTTCGGAGGCTCGTCGAAGGGCCCGAAGGAGGGGACGAGTGCAGAGTTTTCAAGACACTTTCCCGGAGGACGCCTCGGCGAGATGCCTGAGATTTCGGACCTCGGAGAGGTCTCGGCGCGAGGCGGCAGAAACGGACGGCCTCGGGCGGAGACCGAGGAGGAAAAGCGTCCGCTCGGCCGCTCGCGAGAGCGAGAGGCGCTCACCCGGACGGCCACCACGGCGGCTGCAACGTGACCGCGGCACCACGTGACGCGCGCGGCCAATTGGATCTCCCGCGGATCGGCGGTCACGTTGCACTCGGCGTGGCTCGTTCACCCCCGCACGCTCCTGCACGCTGCCCCCTCGTCCATCGGCCCCCTGCGACTATTCGCACTTCGCATATGCGATCGGCTGTTAGCGCGGCGCGGTGCGGTTTCTCGGTCCCGCGACTTCGCTCGTCCGTCGAGATAAGAGGCGGAAGGAAAGAAGAAACGAGGGGTGGAGCGGTGGAGAAAGAAGCCGAGACGCGTCGCGGGTTTGGCGAACGCGCGCGATCGTCGCGGCCGCGAGTGCGAGTGCGCGTTTCGCGCGAACAGTGGATCGTCGTCATCGCGCACGACGTTCGATTCCGGAATATTAGGAGGCTAATTAGCGCGCGGTCGAGCCCGCGAGTGAATCGTTGAATCGGTAATTCAAATTAGGGACTAGACTCGAGAGTCTCCTATGCCGATCGCTGGCGGTGGACGCGCGAGTGAAACGCTGAATTCGCGGCGGAGCCCGCGAGGAGAAATGTGCGTCCGACGGTGCGATCGGCGTGCGTCGCGGCTGACGAACTGACGTCTTGTTTCTCGACTCAAGCTCCCCGACCCGATCGATCGCCCGCTCGCTGAATCTTGTAGGAACCGTAGGGCTTCGCCGCGGCCTCGCCGAGTGTTCAAGAAATCAAGACGATGCGCGCCTCGCGGCGAGGCTGCCACGCCGGCCGCGACGAGCTGCTGTCGTAGTGGTCCCTCGGGTTTCTGCGGGGGATTCGTGGTGGGTCACGTTGTCTCGACTCTTCTAACCCGGCGCGCTTTCACCGGCCGCTTCAACGAAAGTAAGAGAGAAAGCGACTGCGTAGACTCGCAGTCCGCTTGGATAACGGCGGAGCGAGGCATTTCGGTGCACTCTTTCTCCGTCTAAGTTCTTACTACAATAATGTGTTAATTTCAGTTTTATTACTTAATTGGGAAAAGTATACAAAATTCAGAGAAAAAATGTTATTAGGCTATCAGGATCCTCGGCTGAAAATGCGTTTTTTCTAATTAATTGCAAGAGTCGTGTCTTGTTTTACTTGTATTTTGTTACTGCAGAGTGCATTTTAATCAACCACGTTCGAAAACTTTCAATTGCGGTTTTAAAAGAAAAATGCTTCGGTCAAAAGTTGTTTGGTTTGAACGGAGACACATGATTCCAGCGGGAGTCATGTTGTAGAAGTCACCATTTTCAAAAAATTTCGGAACTAATTTCTCAAATAGGACTTGTGCTCTTTTCCTTAGGCTAAAAGTTGTAGATCTCGTTGAGACGTTTTCAAAACGCTATGATAAAGTACTTTTTTAGTAAGTACTTTCCGAGTTGTGAGAGACTCGAAGTTTACAGTACCGTTGGCATTAAAGTCCGTGTCACACTACGTATTGCTGATCGCGTTCGCAATTCAACCAATCGGGTCCAAGGCCGCCTCGTCTGTTTGACTGAAATGTGATCCGCGATCCGCAATCCTCAATACGTAGTGTGGCACGGACTTAAGCCCGTATCAGACTACGGATTGGGATTGGGATTGGATTGAAATTTAACCAATCACAGTAAAGTTTACTAATCGCAAGTTCAGTAACTTTTACTCTAATTGGTCAAATTTTAATCTAATCCCAATCTCAATTCGTAGTCTGATACGGGCTTTAAGGCTTGTGTCCACGATGCTGGAATTTGGTCCAAGTTCTCGTTCCGAGAAATGTGGAACCAGCTTGCAGCTTTATTGAATAGCTGCAAATTGATTGGCTACACATTTCTCGGAACTAGAACTTGGATCAAGTTCTAGCATCGTGGACACAGGCCTTTAGCATTGCCCAAGGTGGATAATGTACAGTGATGGACAGAATAGTCGCAACACTTTTTTTTCTAATGAGTTTAGGAACGTGCATTTAGATTCAGGGTTACGTTCCAAAATCTCCTCCGAGGAATATTTTACTCGATGGCTATTCCGAAACCATTTCGTCTCCGATCTGTTTCTCGAGTAAAATTTTCCACGGGGCAAATGCTTTGGAACGCAAACCTAAATGCGCATTTCTAAACTCATTAAAAAAAGTGTCGCAACCATTCTGTCCATCACTGCACCATGCGGAAGTTGCACGGTACCTCGGGTAATGCTAATGCCGGCGGTACTGTAAACTTCGAGTCTCTCGTAACTCGGAAAGTACTGTAAGCTACGAGCCTCACACGGAAAGTACTTGATAAAAAAAACATTTCATTACAGCGTTTTGAAAGCGTCTCGGCGAGATCCACAACTTTTATCAGGGCTGCTTTCGCGAGAAAATCAAAATGATCCAGATTAAAATGACCTTGCGCTATGATTGGTCAAATCTGAAATTTCATAGCATCACGTTGAAATTTTATTAAATGAAATTTTGATTTTCTCGCGAAAGCAGTCCCGGGGGAAAAATCAAGTTTCGTTTAAGAAATTAGTCGCCTTAAAAATTTCTTGGATATGACGACGCGTATGACGCAAGTCATTCAAACGAGACAACCCTACTCTGGGGAAAAAAAGACAGCTAGCAACCCATTTTGGGGCCCACAGTTAGTAATCGAATAATTTGTATTGTTCGTAACTCTATTCTGGGAAAATTTTCGACCGTTTTTTTTGTAGTTAGGCAACTTAACATTTCGGTTAGTGCCTCTTAAGTGAAAATTATCTTTGCGTTACTGAATATCGACAGAACTAATTGAGAGAATTGATTGGTATTACTTAAAAATCTTGGATATAGATAGAATAGCTGATTGCGATTTTTAGTTATGCGGGGTAAAATTCGTAAAAGAATAGAGTTACGAACAATCGAAGTGATTCGATTAATAATTGTGAGCCCCGCAATGGGTTGCTAACTGTCTTTTTTTTCCCAGAGTGGTAGCACAGTGCAGTGATCAAACATTGGTTAAACATCGGCCCGATATTGGACCAATGTTTAGTCAATGGGGAACTTTTGTCCGAAGCATTTCCTTCTAAAATCACAGGTAAAGTTTTAGGGGTGGTCGATTAAAGTGCGACAGCCTGTATGTAATTATAATTAATATCTTAACTTTATTGATATATAATGCAATTATAGATATTTAATTATATATTAAATTATACAATTATTGTATCAAATTCATATATGTAATAATTAAAACATACACTACGTCATTATTATACAAACATAATCTACAGGTTTCCTCTACAAACACGCTGTGCTTAAAGCTGACTTTGCATGGAAAATGCAACACAAATTTCATTTCTCTCCTCGTAAATTTAATTTCCACGGATATTAATATTTCCAAATCGTTTGAGACTTAAGAAAGTACGTTTAAAGCATTAACTATTTAGATAACGTTAAATAACTCGGATCTTTCTGCTCAACTTATCGCGGTTCTGACAAGATTAATATCACGCGCCGCGGTGTTGAAAAAAATACCTCAGATTTAAGATACATTAAATAACCAGTCAATCCGCAGCGCGTTGACAGGATGATTGGTGAATAATGTACTCGGCGTAATCCATTAATCGTCGCGTGTGGAATTAATAATCCTCGTCACGCCCGACAAGGACGAGGAAACGCGGCATTAAGAATTTATACGGAGGAGAATTTATTGCGGAAAATTCTCCATTATTAATTATGGAATTATCAGTTTCATTAATGTCGCGGGGACTTCGGGTTCCCATCAATTCGGGCGCGCTGAACCGATCCGAAAGTCCAGGAACAGGTGTTTAATCCCCCCCCCCCCCCCCCCGAGGGTTTAACTTATTGACTCGTCTACTTGACGAGCGGATACTTTCGGGCGGGATGGATGTTTCCAACTTGGTCCCGGTTTTCGACCCTTATCAATTAACGCCCGCAGGTCTCGCCGAAATGTCGCTCGCGCCGTCGTTGCGCCGGCAGGCGCGTTTTGTCATGGAAAGCAGAACGCGCGTTTAAGCCCGATCTACAATGTGCTCTTCGCGTCTAGAAATCGGTTCTATTTTGTAGCCGATAAACGCGTCTAAAAAATTTGGGCGAGCTGATGAACTGTGTGCTACACACTTGGCAAGCTTTTCAAGCGTGCACGGAGACCATTTTTTTTCTTAAAATTTATCCTGAAAATCATATCGTGGGACATGGCATTTCGAAGAATTTTTTGAAATTTTTCGATACAGTTTACCAGTAATTATATTGTTAGTAGAGGAAAGTCCTCTATTATGAGATAGCAGGTCTTCAACACCCAAATTCAATCGCAAGCCTTTCCTCGCAACGATTGCACGATCCAACAATGAATTTTCCACTAAACAGATTTCGCTCCAAGGGCAATAAATTCATGGTGGAATCAACTGATGACGCCTATTAATTTAGCAGAAACCCCGTTATCCCATATTAGGATCCTACCTCATAAAGGGAAGACTTTCCTCTGTACATTTCACTAGTAGAATGTATGGTGAAATTTCAAACAATTCTCATACAGTTCTTCAAAATGCTCCTCCATGATTTTCAGGGTAACTTTTCAGAGAAAATTTCTCTACGTGTATCGATTCGCCTGCATAAAATAGAATGTTTCCCGTTGCGAAAAACACATTGTAGATTAGACTTTAGTCGTGCCGTGTCGTCGCGGCTGAACACGCTGATCCATCAAGGATACCCAGTTCGATCCCACGGCCGAGCCACTCGATGGGCATGGCGGACTCGACTCGACGAAAACGTCTTCCTCGCGACGACGTCGCGTGACGAGTTCCCGGGCGTGATGCCTATCGCTCTTGCTCCGCGCGGCTTTCTCCCGAATACGATTCGCACGTTCGCGAGGAAATTTATCTCGGGACGTGTAATATCGGCGGCGATGCGGAAAATGAAAATGCACGGTCGAAATCGATGGGGAGGGGGGGAGGGGGGGGAGAGAAACAAAACGAGCGGCACGTTAAAATAAACAGGGGCTTAAGTGAAATGTGAAAGCTGAATTATAACGGCAAAAATTTATTTATATCGCGCGATAGCACGAGAGTGACGCTACAGGTGGTTAATTAAATTTATATGCAATAAGTAAAATCCCGCTTGTCTTGATTGTATTAATTGTTAGCGGAGTACTCTTCTATCGAGTGTATCCCGGGGGCGTGTAACAATAAGCCGTCCGGTGTGAATTGCATTCGATCTATAACGCATAGCTTCGTGCGCAAGTATTTACACGCTTGCATTAATCGCTGCTGCTATTACACGTCATCGACAACGACGAGCCTGTGCAATATACCGAAGCCAGCCGTCTTTTTAAACATTTTAGCCCCCCCCCCCCCAAAAAAAAACGAGACCGTAGCGAGGTTATTCTCAGTTCAAGTGCGCTCGGTAGCTCATTCGGGTGATTTTCGAAATATAAAATTTATCGAAAGCCCCGAAATGTAACTCGAAAAATTTTTGGAGCGGATAATAAAAAGCGGATAATAAAAAAAACTTCTACACGTATTGGAATCCCGTAAGCGGATTCCAAATATATCTTTTGCTTTTATAATCTCTACTTTTTTCGGGTGCCAGTATTTATATTATTACAAAAATAAAATCTAATCGACAAAAATAGAATTATATTCGCCGCGTTTAATCGTTAGGAGGCGTTTCGGAGCGTCTCAGAAACCGCAGAAATCTCTGGGGAAGGGACAGAGTTCCATCAGTTGTATCAAAATTCTGAGGACTGGCTGCGCAGAAATAAAGTAAATGCGTTCGTGGCAGCTGAGCCCGGATTTCGCCAGTCGTCTCGAATTTCTGGACGGAATCCTCTGCTGCGGTCAGTAAAAAAGACGAGTGCGCGCGCGAGTACCTCGACATTACCGCGGACGTCGGGAGAGCGCGAGAACTCGCTCAC